CTCATCTCCATCTCCGCCGTTGTGGTCCTTTGCCTCCTGACCTTTGACCCCGCCAACTCCTCGAACCCCGAGATGGTGGCCATTTCCAGCCTTCCGGAAGTCAGCAACACTTTCCCGGACCGGGAGGATTGGGCCCCAGAGCTGCGAGGCGCAAGGCAGTGGCACCACCGCCAGCACCCAGGGGACTCTCCGCATGGGAACAGTCGGCCCGCCGGGCTGCGGCAGAAGGAGGCCTTCCTCGGCTTCGGAGGAGAGAACCACGCGCCGGGAGTCGAGAGAGCAGGGAAAGCCCACCGGGAGCAGCGGAGGCACGGGCGCAGGGACAGGATGGGGCACCACCGAGGTCTGGTCCCGGGTGCACTCCCTGCGGGGGGCAAAGCGCAGCTCGATTCCATGCAGCCACCTCCCTTGTTAAGACTTGGTTCCATGCAGCCACCTCCCATGTTAGAAATCAGTTCCATGCAGCCACCTCCCATAAGAGACCTTGGTTCCATGCAGCCACCTCCCTTGTTAGGACTCGGTTCCATGCAGCCACCTCCCACATAGGGACCTGGTTCCATGCAGCCACCTCCCTTGTTAGGACTCGGTTCCATGCAGCCACCTCCCATGTTAGAAATCAGTTCCATACAGCCACCTCCCATAAGAGAACTTGGTTCCATGCAGCCACCTCCCACATAGGGACCTGGTTCCATGCAGCCACCTCCCTTGTTAGGACTCAGTTCTATGCAGCCGCCTCCCATGTTAGAAATCAGTTCCATGCAGCCGCCTCCCACATAGGGATCTGGTTCCATGCAGCCAACTCCCTTGTTAGGACTCAGTTCTATGCAGCCGCCTCCCATGTTAGAAATCAGTTCCATGCAGCCACCTCCCATAAGAGAACTTGCTACCATGCAGCAACCTCCCATGTTAGCAATCGGTTCCATGCAGCCACCTCCCACATAGGGACCTGGTTCCATGAAGCCACCTCCTATAAGAGAACTTGGTTCCATGCAGCCACCTCCCATAGAATAACTTGGTTCCACCTTCCATATTAGAAATAGGTTCCATGCAGCAGCTCCCATGACAGAACTTGGTTCCATGCAGCCATCTCCCATGTTAGAATGTCGTTCCATGCAACTACCTTCCATGAGAGGCCTTGGTTTTATGTAGCCACCTCCCATATTAGAAATTGGTTCCATGCAGCCAGAGCTCAAATGGGAAAGTAGAGCTGGGTTTCCTGTCCCATGCAGACACCTCCCATGTTAGAGCTGGGTTCCATGCAGCCGTCTCCCATGTTAGAACTTGGTTCCATGCAGCCAGATCCCAAATGGGAAAGTAGAGCTGGGTTTCCTGTCCCATGCAGCCACCTCCTGCATTAGAACTTGTTTCCATGCAACCGCCTCCCATGTTAGACCTTCCATGCAGCCACCTCCCAAGTGGCAAAGTGAGGTTCCATGCAGCCACCTCCCACATTAGAACTTGTTTCCATGCAACCGCCTCCCATGTGGCAAAGTGAGGTTCCATGCAGCCACCTCCCACTTTAGAACCATGCAGCCACCTCCCGGACGGGGAAGTGTGGCTGTGATTCCCACCCTGGCTCTTTCCCACCCGTTGTGCTTCTTCCAGGGACTCCTAGCGCTCTCTTCCGGAGGCCGGCGGAGGTGGACGATGAGCGACTGCAGGCACTTCCCCTGGAAGGGTCGTCCGGAGGGTCGGCCCCACCGTCAGTGCCCGGATCTCCCCCGCAGGCCACTTCACCCCGCCCCAAAGCCCGGCCGCGCCCGGAAGGGGAGGTCCTGCCCACCCTGGACATGGCCCTCTTCGACTGGACCGACTACGAGGACCTCCGGAGCGAGATGTGGTCATCTGGCGGGAAGAAAGGTTCAACGGGTTGGGGTGGGAAGTCTTCTCCTGGATCCCTTTGGATCAGGAATGGACCAACTTGGGCTCTCCCTCCAGGTGTTTTGGACTTCAATTCCCGGTAGACAGTTAGGAATTGTGGGAGTTGAAGTCCAGAAACACCTGTAGGGAGGGCCCAAGTTGGCCCATGCCAGCTTTAGAGACAACGCTCACCTCTGAAGGTGGATCAAACCAACCTTCTTCCACCCTCAGGTAAATGGCGCAGGAGACCAGGCGGCAACGAGACCGAAGGTGAGCCCTGCGACCATCACCTGGACTGCCTCCCAGGTAGGTATCTGTGGGCCCCAAATCACAACACACGGCTCTATCTGTACGTTAGGGGAGTAATTTGACGTTGCACGTACCCGCCTCTTGTGTTGCTTGCCTCGTATTGGATCCACCATTGCTTAAGGGAGACAAACGGATGGATGGATGGATGGATGGATGGATGGATGGATGGATGGATGGACAGAAGAGACGGTAATGATTTGTTTCTTCCTCATGTCGATAGGCTGTTGCTGCGATTTGCGTGAACATCTCTGCAAACCCCACAATCGGGGGCTAAACAACAAGTGTTATGGTGACTGTATGTGTACAGAAGGTAAGGGTCTTCCTTCCATCCATCCATCTATCTATCTTTTCATCCTTCTTCCATCCAGCTATCCTTCCTTCTTCCCTTCCTTCCTACTAGCCATCCATCTGTCCATCCATCCTTCTTTCCTGTTATCCATCCATCTATTCATCCATCCATTCTTCCTTCCTTCCTTCCTTCATCCATTCATCTATCTATCTATCTATCTATCTATCTATCTATCTATCATCCTTCTTCCATCCAGCTATCCTTCCTTCTTCCCTTCCTTCCTGCTAGCCATCCATCTGTCCATTCATCCTTCTTTCCTGCTATCCATCCATCTATTCATCCATCCATTCTTCCTTCCTTCATCCATTCATCTATCTATTTATCTATCTATCTATCTATCTATCTATCTATCTACCCATACTTTCATCTATCCCTCCATCCATCCATCCATCCATTCTTCCTTCCTCCATTCATCCTCCCTGCTATCTATCTATCCATCCATCCTTCATCTTTCCTTCCTTCCTTCATCCATCCATCTATCCATCTATCTATCCATTCTTTCATCCATCCACCCATCCTTCACCTTTCCTTCCTTCCTCCATCCATCCTTCCTGCTATCCATCCATCCATCCTTCATCTTTCTTTCCTTCCTTCCTTCAACCATCCATCTGTCCGTCTATCTATCCATTCTTTCATCCATCCTTCATCTTTTCTTCCTTCCTTTCATCCATCCGTCCATTCTTCCATCCATTCTTCCTGACTTCATCCATTCATCTATCTATCCATATTTTCATCTATCCCTCCATCCATTATTTCTTTCTCCATCCATCCATCTAACCATCCTTCCATCCACACATCCATCCAACCAAGCTTCCTTCCTGCTATCCATCCATTCATCCATCATCCATCTTTCCTTCCTGATGTCTATTCATCCATCCATCCATCTATCCATCCTTCCTTCTTCCTGTTATCCATCCATCTATTCATCCATCCATCCTTCCATCCTGCCACTCATTCTTCCTTCCTTCAGCCACTCATCTATCTATCTATCTATCTATCTATCTATCTATCATCTATCTATCTACCCATACTTTCATCTGTCCATCCATCCTTCCTTCCTTCCTTCCTCCATTCATCCTTCCTGCTATCCATCCATCCATCCTTCATCTTTTCTTCCTTCCTTCATCCATCCATCTATCATTCATCCTTCCATCCATCCATCCCATCCATCCATTCTTCCTTCCTTCCTCCATCCATCCATTTTCCTTTCTCCATCCATCTATCTAACCATCCTTCCATCCACACATCCATCCAACCAACCATGTATCTATCCATTATTTTATCCTTCCACCCATCCACCCTTCCTTCCTTCCTTCCTTCCTTCCTTCCTTCCTTCCTTTCTGCTATCCATCCATCCATTTTTCCTTTCTCCATTCATCCATCTAACCATCCTTCCATCCACACATCCATCCAACCAACCATGTATCTATCCATTCTTTTATCGTTCCTTCCTTCCTTCCTTCCTTCCTTCCTTCCTTCCTTCCTTCCTTCCTTCCTTCCTTCCTCTACCCACCCTTCCTTCCTGCTATCCATCCATTCATCCCTCATCCATCCATCCTTCCTTCCTGCTGTCTATTCATCCATCCATCCATCCACCCACCCATCTATCCATCCTTCCTTCCTTCATCCTTCCTGTTATCCATCCATCTATTCATCCATCCATCCTTCCATCCAGCCACCCATTCTTCCTTCCTTCATCCATTCATCTATCTATCTATCTATCTATCTATCTATCTATCTATCTATCCATACTTTCATCTATTCCTCCATCTATCCATCCTTCCTTCCTGCTAGCCATCCATCTATCTATCTGTCCATCCTTCCTTCCTGTTATCCATCCATCTATTCATCCATCCATCCTTCCATCCATTCTTCCTTCCTTCATCCATTCATCTATCTATCCATACTTTCATCCATCCATCCATCCATTTTTCCTTTCTCTATCCATACATCTAACCATCCTTCCATCCACACCTCCATCCAACCAACCATGTATCTATCCTTCCTTCCTTCCTTCCTTCCTTCCTTCCTTCCTTCCTTCCTTCCTTCTTCCACCCACCCTTCCTTCCTACTATACTTTCATCTATCCCTCCATTCATCCATTCTTCCTTCCTCCATCCATCCTTCCTGCTATCCATCGATCCTTCATCTTTCCTTCCTTCCTTCATCTATCCATATATCCATCGATCCACCCATTCTTCCTTCCTTCCCTCATCCATTCATCTATCTATCTATCTATCTATCTATCTATCTATCTATCTATCATCTATCTACCCATATTTTCATCTATCCCTCCATCCATCCATCCTTCATCTTTCCTTTCTTCTTTCATCCATCCATCCATATTTCATCTTTCCTTCCTTCCTTCATCCATCCATCCATTCATCTATCTTTCATCCATCCATCTGTCCATCCATTTTTCCTTCCTTTCTTCTCTCCATTCATCCATCTATCTATCCATTCATCTACCTTTTCTTCCATCCCTCTATTCTTCCTTCCTCCATCTGTCTACCTTTCCATCCATCCTCCCCTCCTTCCTTCCCTCTTTCCCTCCTCCTTCTCTTCTGGGGATGCTTCCTTTTTGTCAGTCTTCCTCTCTTTCTTTCTCTTTCCTTCTTTCTTTCCTTCCAGGCTTGCGCTGCTTTGCCAAATTCCACCGCAACCGGCGAGTGACACGTCGCAGAGGCCGCTGCCTGGAACCGGGCTCGGCCGACCCCGACCGGGGCTCCTTCATGGCCACCTAGGCCTCGGCCACCCCTCCGTCCGTCCGCACAGAGGAACCAAACCACTTCAGTTCTGCTTCAGTTCTGCATTGCGGACCCCTCGTCCCCGTCCCCCCTTTTAGGCCTGTTCCTATTTGTAAATAAATAAAGAGATAGCTATCCTTCGCACACACCGGCTTGTCTTCCTTCTTGGCTTTCGGATCCTAAAAAAGAATTAAGTTTCTAGTCCTCATGGTTCGACATGAATATTTTACTATTTATTTTTACTATATTTATTATTATTATTATCTAAATGGGAATATTATACTATTTATTATTATTATTTAATATTATTTAGAATTTAAAGGGCAGTGTTATACAATTTAATATTATTATTTAATAGCATTCGGAATGTAAATGGAAATATTAATATTATTTATTATTATTATTAAATACTATTTAATACTATTTAGAATTTAATGGAGATATACTGTTTATTATTAATAAATATTATTTAGAATTTCAATGGCAATGTTATATATATGTATGTATATATACTATTGAAATGGTAATATTGTAGTATTTATTATTTAATATTATTTAGAATTTAAATGGAAATAGCATATTATTTATTATTATTATTTAATATTATTTAGAATTTAAATGGGAATAGTATCCTGTTTATTATTATATATTATTATTATTATTATTATTGAAATTGGAATATTATATTTATTATTATTAAATATTATTTAGAATTTAAATGAAAATAGTATAGTATTTATTACTATTAATTAATATCATTTAGTATTTTAATGTCATTATTATTAATAATTTTGAAATGGGAATATTATATTATTATTATTAAATATTATTTAGAATTTAAATGGGAATAGTATATTATTATTTATTATTATTTATTATTATTTAATATTATTTAGAATTTAAATGGTACTAGCATACTGTTTATTATTATTATTATTATATTGAAATTATTGAAATTGGAATATTATTGAAATATTATATTGAAATTGGAATATTATTGGAATATTATATTTATTATTATTATTTTATTAGATTATTTTTTATTATTTAATATTATTTAGAATTTAAATGGGAATAGTATATTGTTTATTATTATATTATTATTATTATTATTATTGAAATTGGAATATTATATTATTATTATTTAATATTATTTAGAGTTTAAATGGGAATAGTATATTGTTTATTATTATATTATTATTATTATTATTATTATTGAAATGGGAATATTATATTTATTTATTATTAAATATTATTTAGAATTTAAATGGGAATAGTATAGTATTTATTACTATTAATTAATATCATTTAATATTTTAATGTCATTATTATTATTATTATTATTATTATTATTATTATTATTGAAATGGGAATATTATACTATTATTATTATTATTATTTAATATTATTTAGCATGTCAGTGATGCCCTCCTTTCCTGAGGCTGAGAGAGTGTCACTCTGTCTGCACTCAAACCCAGAACCAGAGGGGGGGGGCTTTAATTCGCATTAAGGTTCCCCTCCTGTCTACACTGTGAGAGAGTGAGTCCTCTTCCCTTGGAGGGGAGGGAAGGAAGGAAGGAGTGGAGGGAGGAGTTTCTCTGCTGTGGCTTTTTTTGCTCAATTTCTGGGGAAGGAGTCATGAGGCTGGCTGTGGGGAGGAGCCCCAGGCAGAGAGAAGCAGAAGCGGAAAAGCAAAGCAAAGCAGAACCCGGGTCTGGCCAGAAAGGAAAGGAAAGAAAGAGAAAGAAAGAGAAAGTCAAGAAGGAAGCCAAGGACCATGGAGGTCCCCTCTGTCAACCTCAAGGTGAGTGTGCAACAGCGAGTGTGCAAAGGAGGGTCTTCTACAAGTGTCAACGGAAGTGTGCAAAGGAGTTGCAGAGGAGGGAAGGGTCAGTGGGAGAGAGTAGGGAGTGTGCACTGTGATTGTGCAAAGGGGTTGTCTACAAGGGAAGGGTCAATGGAAGAGTTTTAGGAGAGTGTGCACTATGATTGTGCATGGGAAGGGAAGGGTCAGTGGAAGAGAGTAGGGAGTGTGCACTATGATTGTGCAAGGGGGTTTTCTACAAGGGAGAGGTCAATGGAAGAGAGTAAGGGGAGTGTGCACTGTGATTTGTGCGCGGGGCTTGTCTACATGGGAAGGGTCAATGGAAGAGAGTAAGGGGAGTGTGCACTATGATTGTGCAAGGGGGTTGTCTACGAGGGAGGGGTCAATGGAAGAGTTTTAGGAGAGTGTGCACTATGATTGTGCAAGGGGGTTGTCTACCAGGGAAGGGTCAATGGAAGAGTTTTAGGAGAGTGTGCACTATGATTGTGTACAGGAAGAAAAGGGTCAATGGAAAAGAGTAGGGAGTGTGCACTATGATTGTGCAAGGGGGTTGTCTACAAGGGAGGGGTCAATGGAAGAGAGTAGGGAGTGTGCACTATGGTTGTGCAAGGGGGTTTTCTACAAGGGAGAGGTCAATGGAAGAGAGTAAGGGGAGTGTGCACTGTGATTTGTGCGCGGGGCTTGTCTACATGGGAAGGGTCAATGGAAGAGAGTAAGGGGAGTGTGCACTATGATTGTGCAAGGGGGTTGTCTACGAGGGAGGGGTCAATGGAAGAGTTTTAGGAGAGTGTGCACTGTGATTGTGTACGGGAAGAAAAGGGTCAATGGAAGAGAGTAGGGAGTGTGCACTATGATTGTGCAAGGAGGTTGTCTACAAGGGAAGGGTCAATGGAAGAGAGGGAGTGTGCACTATGATTGTGCAAGGGGGTTTTCTACAAGGGAGAGGTCAATGGAAGAGAGTAAGGGGAGTGTGCACTGTGATTTGTGCGCGGGGCTTGTCTACATGGGAAGGGTCAATGGAAGAGAGTAAGGGGAGTGTGCACTATGATTGTGCAAGGGGGTTGTCTACGAGGGAGGGGTCAATGGAAGAGTTTTAGGAGAGTATGCACTGTGATTGTGTACGGGAAGAAAAGGGTCAATGGAAGAGAGTAGGGAGTGTGCACTATGATTGTGCAAGGAGGTTGTCTACAAGGGAAGGGTCAATGGAAGAGAGTATTGCATATAAGGGAAGGGTCAGTGGAAGAGTGTAAGGGAGTATTTTTAAGGGTTTGTATCCCCTTACACTCTTATTATAAGAGTGTAAAGGGAGTGTGCACCATGATTGTGCAGATGTATAAAGGGAAGGGTCAATGGAGGAGTGTAAGAGGAGCGTGCAAAAAGATTGTATAAGAGTGTGAGGGGATTGTGCAATGGGACTATCTACAAGGGAAGAGTCAAGGGAAGTGTAAGGTGAGCGTGCACCATGATTGTGCAAAGGGATTGCATGTAAGGGAAGGCTCACAGAAGTGTGTAAATAAATATAATAATAATAACAACAACAACAATAATTGTGTAAAAGGCCAATGAAGCACCAAGTATAAAAAAACAAGTGTGTTGCCCAGTCGTGCAAATAATTTTGAATTTTACCTTGTGCGAGGCACCAGGATGGAGGGGGAAAACCCTGACTGTCCCATTAGAGAAGTTACTTTCGCCTCTCTAGCTCCCCTTCTCCATTATAAGGTTGCATGTCCTCGTAAATCAATGTTACAGGGTAGGAAAAGTTTTCAAAAGTAATAACAACAACAACTATTATTGTTATTATTATTATTATATTAATGGGGTCACCGTAAGCCATGCAAATGCTGGAAAAGCAATTTCGAAAGCTGCCGAATGCCTGGAAATTCCTGCATTTTGCAAAATAGTCCAAAATGGGGAAGATGCCGGCGCGGGCTCCCCTTTCCAGCCTTTGAATTAAACCGAAAGCAGCTCCCAAAGCATTCTTGTGATTCTCCTTCCTTTCTTTCCTTCCTCGTGTGATGCAACTTGATAAATCCCCGGCCGTGATTTAGTCGTAACGTTTGTTTTGGGAACATTATTGCTAGTATTAATATTATTATATTATTGTTAGATTAGATTAAATTATATTTATTGTACTTATTATTATATTTATTGTGTTAGATTATTATATTTATTATATTCATTAATTTTATACTTATTATTTTAATATTTATTGTATTATACATTTTATTACTGTATATTTATTATATTCACCATCATTCTATTTATTATTATTGTATTTATTATCATATTAGATCATTATATTTATTATATTCATTCATATTATATTTATTATATTAAACATTATATTTATTACTGTATATTTATTATATTTATTATATTAAACATCATTCTATTTATTATTATTGTATTTATTATCATATTAGATCATTATATTTTTTATATTCATTCATATTATATTTATTATTTAATATTTATTGTATTATACATTATAATTATTATGGTATATTTATTATATTTATCATGTTCTTCATTCTATTTATTATTATTATATTTATTATCACATTAGATCATTATATTTTTATATTCATTAATATTATATTTATTACTGTATATTTATTATATTCATCAATCTATTTATTATTATTAAATTTATTATTATATTAGATCATTATTTTGTTATATTCATTAATATTATATTTATTATGTTATTTAATATTTATTGTATTATATATTTTATTATTACTGTATATTTATTATATTTATTATATTCATCAATCTATTTATTATTAAATTTATTATCATATTAGATCATTACATTTATTATATTCATTAATATTATATTTATTATTTAATATTTATTGTATTATACATTTTATTATTACTGTATATTTATTATATTTATTATATTCATTGTATTTATTATATTCATCATCATTCTATTTATTATTATATTTATTATATATTCATTAATATTATATTTATTAAACATTATATTTATTAGTGTATATTTATTATTATATTTGTTATATTCATGTCAATCTATTCATTATCATTGTATTTATTATCATTATTGTCATATTTATTATAATATTATATTTTTATTATATGCATTATATGTATTATATTCATTATTACAACATTAGATTATGATTGTATGCATTATTATTTAAATTATGGAATATTCATTATTATTATTATTATTATTATTATTATTATTATTATTATATTCCTCGCCACCATCATTCTATTCATTATTCCTCTATTTATTGTAATATCAGAAGGAAACACAATGGCTTCTTATCTGTCCTTGGAAAAGCTACACTTTCCTTTGCCGTGAAAGAATGCCGCACTGACGTCAACGTGAAAAACACATTGGGACACAGTCTTCCTTCCTTCCTCCTTAATCTGGGGAGGATAAGAGGCCATTGTTTCCAGCATCGTCTGGCATCGAATGGTATCAAACCGCATTAACCCCCACAGTGTAGACACACCTCTGCGAAGTATCTGACACATTTGTGGTCCTCGTTCTTTTCCGCAGGCCATCATTTTGGTGCATTGGCTGCTGACGACATGGTGAGTCCTCCTCGCACAATTATCTGATTGGAGTGAACACCCCTCTCACGATTGTCTGGTGGTGAGTGAGCCCCTCACACAATTATGCAAGTGTGTGAGGTCCCTCGCATGATGATATGACTGTGAGAGACTCCCCACTTGCACAATTATCTGATTGCGAGCCCCTCGCATGATTATCCATTTATTACCCCCCCCCTTGCACAATTATCCAAGTGTGGGAGGTCCCTCGCATGATGATATGACTGTGAAAGACTCCCCACTTGCATGATCATCTGATTGTGAGCCCCTTACATGATTATCCATTTATTACCCCCCCCCTTGCACAATTATCCAAGTGTGGGAGGTCCCTCGCATGATGATATGACCGTGAGAGACTCCCCACTTGCACGATTATCTGATTGTGAGCCCCTCGCATGATTATCCATTTATTACCCCCCCCTCGCACAATTATCTGATTGGTTGAGGTGAGCCCCTTGCACAATTATACAAGTGTGTGAGGTCCCTCACGTGTGTGAGTCCCCCTTGCATAATTACCTGATTGTGATCCCCACGCACAATTGATAATGTGAAAATATGATACACGCTTGGATAATTATGCAAGGAAGACTCAAAATGTGAGTGATTCCCCCTCGCATGGTTATCCAAGTGAGCGAGGTCCCTTGCATGATTGTATGACTGAGTCCTCCTTGCACGGTTGTATGATCGTGAGCGAGTCCCTCTGCCACGATTATCTGGTTAGGAGTGAGCCCCAATTCACACGATTATCTGAGTGTGAGTCCCCCTCTCACAATTATCTAATTGTAAGTGAGTCCCCCATACGTTATCCAATTGTGATTGAGTCCCCCTTGCACGATTTTCTGAGCATGAGCCCCCCTCGCACGATTATCTGATTGTGAACCCGTCATGCAATTATCTGGCTGTGAGTCCCCTTCACACTATGATTTGGGTGTGAGTCCCCCTCTCATGATTACCTGAGTGTGAGTGAGCCCCCCTCACATAATTATTTGAGTGTGAGCCCCCTCGCATGATTATCTAATTGTGAACCTCTCGTGCAATTATCTGGCTGTGAGTCCCCTTCACACAATGATCTGGGTGTGAGTCCCCCTCTCACGATTACCTGAGTGTGAGTGAGCCCCCCTTGCACAATTGTCTGAGTGTGAGCCCCGTCACATGATTATCTGATTGTGAACCCCTCATGCAATTATCTGGCTGTGAGTCTCATTCACACGATGATCTGGGTGTGAGTCCCTCTCACAATTACCTGAGTGTGAGTGAGCCCCCCTCGCACAATTGTCTGAGTGTGAACCCCCTTGCACGATTATCTGATTGTGAACCCCTCATGCAATTATCTGGCTGTGAGTCCCCTTCACACGATGGTGTGAGTCCCCCTCTCACGATTACCTGAGTGTGAGTGAGCCCCCCTTGCACGATTATCTGAGTGTGAGTTTCCCCTCTTCCAGCGATGGTTTTAATGCAGGGTGTGCCTGGGTGTTTTCCCCCCTTAGGGGCTGCCTGAAGCCCTGGCTGCCGCCTTCCTACACCTGGAGCAACTACTCCGTCCTGGCGCTGGGTGTCTGGGCCGTGGCCCAGCGGGACTCCCTGGACGCCATCCTCATGGTGGGTTGTGCCCCCCTCCGACCCCAGCCGGTGGTGTGTTTATGTGTGTGGGGGGTGGGCTACTCAGAAGGAGGGTCCCCATGAGGCCATCTAGACCTTCCTCCTCCTCCCCCCCTTTCCCTTGGCAGTTCCTGTGGGGCCTCCTGCTGACCATCCTGACCGACATCGTCCACTTCGGCGTCTACTACCCCCGGGACCACGACTCCCTGGAGGACCTCATGCGCTTCTCCAACGGGATGGCCATCTTCAGCCTCCTCCTCAAGCCCCTCTCCTGCTTCCTCGCACACCAGATGTACCGCCAGCGCGGCGGGGAGGACACCTTCCGCTTCGGTAAGGGGAGGGGACGGGACGGGACGAAGTGTACTGGATGGATGGATGGATGACCTCTGGGGGTCCCCTCCACCTCAAGCAGATCACTATTATCACCAGAGCTTTGACTGTGTCTTCCTCCCTGGCTCAAGGAGGGTGGACTACATGCACTTTGGGGGCCCCAACATTAGGCTATTAGTAGTAGTAGTAGTAGTAGTAGTATATTAGTATATTATTATTATTATTATTATTATTATTATATTAGTTTATTATTAAGGTGGACTGGATGCCCTTTGGGGGTCCCAACATTAGGCTATTAGTAGTAGTAGTAGTAGTAGTAGTATATTAGTATATTATTATTATTATTATTATTATTATTATTATTATTATATTAGTTTATTATTAAGGTGGACTGGATGCCCTTTGGGGGTCCCAACATTAGGCTATTATTATTATTATTATTATTATTATTATTATCGTAATCATATTAGTATATTATTATTATTATTATTATTATTATTATTATTATTATTAGGAGGGTGGACTGGATGTCCTTTGGAGGTCCCAACATTAAGCTATTATTATTATTATTATTATATTAGTATATTATTATTATTAGTAATAATAGGAGGTTGGACTGGATGCCCTTTGGGGGTCCCAACATTAGGCTATTATTATTATTATTATTATTATTATTAGGAGGGTGGACTGGATGTCCTTTGGAGGTCCCAACATTAAGCTATTATTATTATTATTATTATATTAGTATATTATTATTATTAGTAATAATAGGAGGTTGGACTGGATGCCCTTTGGGGGTCCCAACATTAGGCTATTATTATTATTATTATTATTATTATTATTATTATTATTATTATGTTAGTATACTATTATTATTATTATTATTATTATTATTATCATCACAGCTTGGACGACCCTTTCCAGGGTGGGCTTATTATAATATTAATAGGGGGTGGACTGGATGCCCTTTGGGAGGTCCCATCACGAGGCTATTATTACTAATATTATATTATTATTATTATTATTATATATATTATTATTATTATATTTTATATTATTATTATTTTATATTATTATTATATTATTATTATATATTTTTATTAATTATTATTATTATTATATTATTATATATTTTTATTAATTATTATTATTATTATTTATTTTATGTTATAATAAAATAAAAATAATAATAAATAAATAATATAATAATATAAAATATTATTTATATTATTATTATTATTTTTTTATATTTATTATTATATTATTATATATTTTTATTATTTTATATTATTTTATTATTATATTATTTTATATATTATTATAATTTATATTATTATAATTTTTATTATTTATTTATGTTATAATAAAATAATATAATTAATAATTAATAATATAAAATTATTATTATATATTATATTATTATCATTTTTATTATTATATTTATAAAATATTATTATTATATTATTATGATATTATTATTATTATTTCATTTTATATTATTATTATATTATTATTATTTTATATTATTATTATTATTTTATGTTATTATTATTATTTATTATTATTATCAGGGTGGCTGGGGGTGGGCCAGGACCGCAGCGCCTACCAGCCCATCGATGCCTCGGACGTTCGTCCGGCGACGTTCCCCGAAGTGTCGCCGTTGTCGTCCGGCAAAGCACCGCCATCCCGGCCCTACTGACCGCCTCCGGGGAGACCCCCGACCGGATCGAGTGGACGGCCGGACCCTCTTTCCCGCCTCGGGACCCTTGACTTGCTGCTCCTTCCGCTTGTTTCTGAGCCAAAGACGTTCCCGGTTACCACGTTCCCTCCTCCTGTATTTTTCTACCACCGTCAATAAACACCCAGTGCCTTCCTCCTCCTCCTTCTCCGTTTATTTCGACCTCGGGTTTCGGGTTTGGGGTCCATCGGGTTTTGTGCAGGATGATGGGAGCTGTAGTGGAGAGCAAGCATTCCAATGGGAAGTAAGTGGGACTGTTTCAATGGAAGGGGCGGAGTCTCATTCGACAGTCATGTGACCCTCCGAGGGGGCGGAGCTAACGGTTTCCCGGAGGCGGGGCCAAGCTCATCGTTTTCTCGATGAATTGTAATCGATCTCATTGGTTTTACAGGTTATCAATATTCAGGAACAGGTTTGAGACACTTCAAATATATTATTATTGTTGTTATTATTAGTATATCCATTTCAGATATATTTTTTATTATTATTATTCAAATATATAATGATAATTAATATAATATTTATTACAATCAATCCAATATATTTCAAAAAGTATTATATTTAGTATATATTATATTATTGTATTTATTATATTCATTTCAAATGTTTCATTATATTTATTTCAAATATATTATTATATATTTATTATTATATTTCAAATGTATTAGTAGTATATTTAGTATAATATTTCATTTTATTTTTTCAAATATATAATTATAATTATTATAGTATGTATTACAATCAATCAAATATATTTATTTCTCAAAGTATTATATTTAGTATAATATTTAGTACAATCAAATATATTGTCATGATATTATTACTATATTTATTATGTTCATTTCAAATATTTCATTATATTGATTTCAAATATAATATTATTTATTACCATTTTATTTATTTTTATTTATTACATATTCATTTCAAAATGTATTGCATTTATTTCAAATATATTATTGTGTTTATTGCTATATTTATTTCAAATATATTTATTATTATTATATTTATTGCGATAAAATATATTATTGTTATATATTTATTATTATGCTTATTATTTATTTATTATATTTATTGCAATAAAATATATTATTCTTATATCTTTTATTATTATGTTTATTATTTATTTATTATATTTATTGCAATAAAGTATATTATTCTTATATATTTATTATTATTATGTTTATTATTTATTTATTATGTTTATTGCAATAAAATATATTTATTATTATGTTTATTATTTATTTATTATGTTTATTGCAATAAAATATATTATTCTTATATATTTATTATTATTATGTTTATTATTTATTTATTATATTTATTGCAATAAAATATATTTATTATTATGTTTATTATTTATTTATTATGTTTATTGCAATAAAATATATTATTCTTATATATTTATTATTATTATGTTTATTATTTATTTATTATGTTTATTGCAATAAAATATATTTATTATGTTTATTATTTATTTATTATATTTATTGCAATAAAATATATTTATTATTATGTTTATTATTTATTTATTATGTTTATTGCAATAAAATATATTATTCTTATATATTTATTATTATTATGTTTATTATTTATTTATTATGTTTATTGCAATAAAATATATTTATTATTATGTTTATTATTTATTTATTATGTTTATTGCAATAAAATATATTATTCTTATATATTTATTATTATTATGTTTATTATTTATTTATTATGTTTATTGCAATAAAATATATTATTCTTATATATTTATTATTATTATGTTTATTATTTATTTATTATATTTATTGCAATAAAATATATTTATTATTATGTTTATTATTTATTTATTATGTTTATTGCAATAAAATATATTATTCTTATATATTTATTATTATTATGTTTATTATTTATTTATTATGTTTATTGCAATAAAATATATTTATTATTATGTTTATTATTTATTTATTATATTTATTGCAATAAAATATTCTTATATATTTATTATTATTATGTTTATTATTTATTTATTGTATTTATTGCAATATTCACGCAGCAACAGGTTTGGGCCATTTCCATTATTATTATTATTATTATTATTATTGCAATAGAACTAAAAAGGCGCTATGATTAAAAGCTGTTGCAGGGAAGGCAAAAGACATTGCAATGCTTACGACTCCGAGCAAAACGACGGAACGCGAAGTCCGGGCGGCGAAGGAGAACATCCCTCCCGCAGGTAAACCAATGGTTAATGAGCCTCGTTTGCCGTGACCAAATCTAACGAATCTAAGCGGCTTAAGCCTGGGGTTTATGGCATTAGGGAAAAGAAGGCAACACAACAAGCGAGGCTGCGGTCGTGCAACAACGACAACAACGGGGACGATGTTCCGGAGTGAGTACGAGCAGAGCGGCCCTGGGGCGGTTCTAGAGCGGGAAAAGCGTGGGCGCCGGTGCTAGGTACGGGCCCCCCCAAAAGGACCCACTTCTCTGTGTCTGTGTTCATGTAGATAGTGTATTGGGCTATACATTACTATATTATAATATATAAATATATAATTATAATATATTATTATTCTATATTATTACTATATGATAATATATAATTAATATTATTCTATAATAATAATTATAATATAATATATATTATTACTAATATATATTATAATATATATTATTCTATAATATAATATAATTCTATGATTATTACTATATATATTATTAATATAATTATTCTAATATATAATATAATATAATATTTCTATATTATTACTATATTATATTATAATATACATATTCTATAATATATAATTATAATATATATATAATTCTATATTATTACTATATATATTATAATATATATTATTCTCTAATATATAATGATAATATAATATTTATATTATTACTATATTATATTATAATATACATTATTCTATAATATATAATATAATATAATATATAATTCTATATTATTATATATATATATAATATATATTATTCTCTAATATATAATGATAATATAATATTATATTCTATATTATTACTATATTATATTAATATACATTATTCTAAATATATAATTATATATATATATAATTCTATATATTACTAATATATATTATAATATATATTATAATATATAATGATAATATAATATAATTATATTATTATATATTATATTATAATATATAATATATATTATATATAATAATATAATATATAATTTATATTATTATATATTATATTATAATATATAATATAATATATAATTTATATATTATAATTATATTATTATTATATTATATTAATATATGTTATTTATAATATATTATTATTATTTGAATATATATTTATATTATTATTATATTATATTATATATTATTATTATTAATATTATATTATAATATATAATTATATTTATTAATTATTATATATTATTAATGATATATTATAATATAATTATAATATATTATTTCATTATATATTATTAGATTATTAATTATATATTATATATTAATTATATATTACTATATTATATTTTAATATATATTATTATATATAATTATAATATAATATTATAATTCATTATAATATTATATTAATAATAATTATAATATATATATTAATATTAATTATATATAATTATATTCTTATTATTACTATATATATTATAATATATAATATAATAATATTATATAATATAATATATAATATAATATTATATATATTATTAATATTAATTACAATATATATTTATTATATATAATATAATAAATTTATAATTTATTTATACTATATATTATAATATAGTAATATATTGTAATATATTATTATAATAATAAATATAATAGATATAATAATATATCTATAATAACATATTTGAAATATGTTACTATATAATTAGAATAATATAGAATAATAATAAATTAATATATTGATATATTATATTATTATATCATATTACATTGCTATATTATTACATTGCATAATATTATGATATATTGTATTACATTACTGAGATATTATTACATTGCATTACTATGTCATACTTTATATTATAATATAATATATGATAATATAATAATATAGAATAATTATTGTGTATTTGTGTACATGTGTCTGTATATGTATGTATATATGTGTGTGTGTATGTGTGTATTTGTATGCATAGATTGTATTCTTGTATAATAATATAGAACAATACTAATGTGTGTATGTATGTGTATATTTGTATTTGTGTGTATATATATGTGTGTGTGTGCATTTGTATATATGTGTGTGTATTGGTACATATATATCTGTGTACAAATGTGTGTACTTATATGTATATATGCGTGTATTTGTATGTGTGTGTATATAATATCTGCGCATTTGTATATATGTGTGTGTATATGTGTGTATTGTACTTATATGTATATATGTGTGTATTTGTATGTGTGTGCATATAATATATGCGCATTTGTATATATGTGTGTGTATATGTGTGTATTGGTACATATATATCTGTGTACAAATGTGTGTATTTATATGTATATATGTGTGTATTTGTATGTGTGTGTATATAATATCTGCGCATTTGTATATATGTGTGTGTATATGTGTGTATTGTACTTATATGTATATATGTGTGTATTTGTATGTGTGTGCATATAATATATGCGCATTTGTATATATGTGTGTGTATATGTGTGTATTGGTACATATATATCTGTGTACAAATGTGTGTATTTATATGTATATATGTGTGTATTTGTATGTGTGTGTATATAATATCTGCGCATTTGTATATGTGTGTGTATATGTGTGTATTGTACTTATATGTATATATGTGTGTATTTGTATGTGTGTGCATATAATATATGCGCATTTGTATATATGTGTGTGTATATGTGTGTATTGGTACATATATATCTGTGTACAAATGTGTGTATTTATATGTATATATGTGTGTATTTGTATGTGTGTGTATATAATATCTGCGCATTTGTATATATGTGTGTGTATATGTGTGTATTGTACTTATATGTATATATGTGTGTATTTGTATGTGTGTGCATATAATATATGCGCATTTGTATATATGTGTGTGTATATGTGTGTATTGGTACATATATATCTGTGTACAAATGTGTGTATTTATATGTATATATGTGTGTATTTGTATGTGTGTGTATATAATATCTGCGCATTTGTATATATGTGTGTGTATATGTGTGTATTGTACTTATATGTATATATGTGTGTATTTGTATGTGTGTGCATATAAAATATGCGCATTTGTATATATGTGTGTGTATATGTGTGTATTGATACATATATATCTGTGTACAAATGTGTGTACTTATATGTATATATGTGTGTATTTGTATGTGTGTGTATATAATATCTGCGCATTTGTATATATGTGTGTGTATATGTGTGTATTGTACTTATATGTATATATGTGTGTATTTGTATGTGTGTGCATATAATATATGCGCATTTGTATATATGTGTGTGTATATGTGTGTATTGGTACATATATATCTGTGTACAGATGTGTGTACTTATATGTATATATGTGTGTATTTGTATGTGTGTATATTTAATATGTGTGTATTGGTACATATATATCTGTGTACAAATGTGTGTACTTATATATATATTTGTGTGTATTCGTATGCGTATATATATGTGTGTATGTGTTTGTGTGTGTGTGCCTCCTACTCATAGTAGCATTTTACTTCTCTGCAGAGCAAAGGAACGTCCAGAAGAACCTCAACGTTCCTCCATCTTCCGGATCATCCCACCGTCTAAATGGCCCAAGGAGACCCGTGGAAGCGACCATATTGGGGTTGCCTCTAAGAAGCAGAACGGTTGACCACAACCTGGTCCAGACCAACCTCTCTTTTCTGGATTGGCCTTCCCAAGAGAAGCAAACCAACCTCAATTCCAAATTGAAGAGGTTCGGACTGGGAAACGGGGCGGACACTGACAGCCCTGAGGTTGACCGGAAGAGGAACCATCCACAGAAACTGTTTCGGCCAAGCCATGATGTTCCACCTTCAGAGAACGGAATGGGGAGCAAGGAAAAGGAGGCCTCAAGACGGGTTCTAGGTCGTTTCTCCAAACAAAGACCACACGGAGGTGTCTCCTCCTCCTCCAGATGGGTGGAGACACCATCTCAGAGTTCCCTCCATCGCCATCCTTCCTCTCCAAGTCTGGATAATAGCGCCGATCCGTCTTCTCTAGGGACAACCCTCCTCTCGGAACACCTGAAGAGATCGGGTCTGGGAGAGAATCGTCCTTCTCCAACGTTCCAGGCTGTCCCAAGGTCTTCAGACGTTGCCAGCTTCCCCGAGCGTATCAAGACCTCCAAATTGGTGGAGAACCGTCCTTCTCCGACACTCCAAAATATCTTGAGGTCTTCAGACCTGGGCTATTCCACCCAACGTCTCCAAGAGCATCTGAAGACCTCAGATTTAGTGGAGAACCCCCCTTCTTCTCCAACGTTCCAAGCCTACTTAAGGTCTTCAGATCTCAGCAACTCCGTCCAACATCTCCAAGAGCATCTGAAGACCTCCAACTTAGCGGAGAACCATCCTTCTTCTTCAAGGTTCCAATCCAACCTAAGGTCTTCGGATGTTGACAGCTCCACCCAGCATCTCCAAGAGCATGTCAAGATCTCCAAATTGGTGGAGAACTGTCCTTCTTCTTCATGGTTCCAGGACATCCTAAGGTCTTCAGACATTGACAGCTCTATCCAACGTCTCCAAGACCATTTAAAGACATCCAACTTAGTAGAGAACCATCCTTCTTCTCCAACATTCCAGGCCAACTTAAGATCTTCAGATCTCAGCAACTCCATCCAACATCTACAAGACTCTCTGAAGACGTCCGACTTAGTGGAGACCTGTCCTTCTTCAAGGTTCCAGGACATCCTAAAGTCCTCAGACATTGACAGCTCAACCCAGCATCTCCAAAAGCATGTCAATACCTCCAAATTGGTGGAGAACCATCCTTCTTCTCCAACACTCGAGGACATTTTGAGGTCATCAGATCTCTGCAATTCCATCCAACATGTCCAAAACCATCTGAAGACGTCCGACATAGTGGAGAACCGTCCTTCTTCATCGTTCCAGGCCAACTCAAGGTCTTCAGATCTCAGCAACTCCATCCAACATCTCCAAGACGAAGCCGGGATGGGGGCCTTGGGGTCATTCCCGTCGGAACCCAAATACTCCTCTCTGCCTCGGCCCTCGTGGGTCAGTCCCCCGGGTTCTACCACCACCCCGCTGAGTATTATGGAGCGCCTCATGGCCGAGCAGAATTGGGATGCCTCCTTTGGTAGAGAGTTTGGAGACAGTGAGCCCCTTCGTCGCCCCTCTATCATGGAGACCATAGAACACAGCTGGCCAGCAGTCAACATACAGGGCAACATTGGCTCAAGCTCAACACTGCTTCCAAGCAAAGATGCTTCCTTTTCATACCTTTTCAGATCTCATTGGGGTGGTCAGTGGAATCTGGATCCAGAGGAACCTCCTTCTGGGGCATCCCATCACATTGACATGGTTCAACCTGACCTTTCTTTGGTTGACCATGGTCGGCCAAAGACTGATAGCCACCAGAAAAGATATGGCTTGAAAGAACCTTCTTCTGAAGCATCCCATCGCATTGACTTGGGTCAACAGGACTTTCCTTTGGTCAGTCGTGGTTGGCCAAAGACTGATAGCCACCAGAAGAGATATGGCTTGGAAGAACCTTCTTCTGGAGCATGCCATCATGTTGACTTAGGTCAACAGGACCTTTCCTCAATCAGCAGTAGTTGGCCAAAGACTGATAGTCACCAGAAGAGATATGGCTTGGAAGGCCCTTCTTCTGGACCATCCCATCACATTAACTTGGGTCAACATGACCTTCCCTTGGTCAACCGTAGTTGGCCAAAGACTGATGGCCACCAGACAAGATATGGCTTGGAAGAACCTTCTTCTGAAGCCTCCCAACATGTTGACGTGGGCCAACAGGATCTTCTCTCCAGGTCTAACATGGACAGGGAAGGACATTTGACTGTCCAGTCTTCTGGAGCTCCTGGTGGCCAAGACTCTAACCTATGTGAACCAGGAGAGAGCGTCGGAACCTCGTTTTCTGCAAACTTTGTAGACAACCAGAGCTTGTTTTCGCCCCATTGGAAACTCAGAGCATTTGCAGGAGCCAAGAAAGGAGAAGGCTCTCTGGCTACTAACGTTGCATCGGGGAGTTCCAGTGGCTCCTCACATGTTCCTCATGATAGTAGTTGGCCCAGTGTTAAAAGCATGAAAGAGAGGATGGAGCATCCCTACGGCGAAAGGAGAGATTATTCTCGGCGAGGCGTCCCTCGGGAGGAGGTGAGCAGTCCGTGTATTGAGCAAGTTGCCCATTGGTCTACTTGAAAAGGGTTTGACTGATAGACTTTGGACCAACATTTTGGAGCTTGGAGAGACATAGTTGACTGGTAGCTATGGTAAACTTACTCAACTAGGGATTGAGCATCTATGCAAATGCCCACTGATGTACTTTAATCAAATTCGGTCCCATTTTTTATCCAGTGAGTTCCACAAGTCAGCGAGAAGCACAATGAATGCCATGAGATTGAAATGGTCTTTCTCTCCTTCTTGTAGGACCTGGAAAGCGATAATGGATCAACGGAGAAGAGGAGAAACAGGTGAGAGGGCAACGTAGGTTCTAAACACAGTCTTAACTATGAGGCATTTGTAATTCGGATGTTTGTAACTCGAGGACTTGCCTGTTGCATGGTTTTGATCTGTCATGTCCAGGAGTTGATGGTGGTTAGTCTTCAGAAGGCTTGGCAGGATCATGACCTGTACGGTGGTGATGCTTCAGAAGGTACAGAAGGGGTTAATCTTCCTCCTAGTTCTAAAGGTCTGAGTAATCTGTAGGTAAGAATTTACAAGTGGTAGCAATTAAGGGTGGAGGCCTGCAAGTGATCAGCTGCATAAAATGAGTATCTGTCATACTTGACCGTGGTGTTTCCCCTGGGTTGCTGAATTATAGTATCCCGATCTGGATCATGAACTCGTGTAAACATTGTACCTTGTGGAATCTTGAACCAAGAGGATGATTGTGTTGGTGAACCTCATTGTGTATGGACCTTGATGAACTGCGAATCCCTCAACCAACCCTTGACTGCTGTGTTTGGACTACCCTTGAACTTTGGCTTCTCTGAGTTGACCTATGGAAAGATGACCACTAGGCATGTGCAAAAAAAATCAGAAAAGTCAGAAATCGTAAGAAAATCTGAAGTTTTGTAAGTCGGAAATCATATCCGAAACGTTTGTGTGGCCCAGAACAAATACTTTAGGATCGAAACTGACCCTATACTTTTTTGTTTTAGTTTTGTAAATCTCAGAAGGCTCCCAAAGTCAGTTTGAAAGTCAGAAAACAAAGCAAGGCAAAGCCAAAAAGGCTGCCTGCCTGGAATTAATGGAGTCTCGGCATTAGGAGCTGTGAAAAGAGGGAGCAGTGTATTTTGGGAACTCTGGGAAATGTCATTTGGGAAGGGGAGGGGCCCTATGCCAAAGAATTCAAAACTTTGTCTTTGCACATGGGACGTCGTCCTATATAGCCGCACATTTTGCTTTGTTGAGTCTCCACCACGTTAACAAAGTTTCTGCCACAAAAACAAACTTTCGGGGGTAGAACAGCTACTTTCAAAGTAAGGGCTACACAATTAAACAGGAAATAACATTTTGAAACTAGGAACAGATTTTCTTTATCATTAAAATAATGTTTAAAATCTAAAATCCAAGGCTCAGTCTGTCTTTCAACACAGAGAATCTCAGGCTGCAGCTCCCAACACCAACGTTGCTCCCAGCAAGTTGCTATTCCAAGCAAGGAGATAATGAAGAAGGAAACAATTACGGACCTTAATTTGGAAATAAAGTGCTTTTCAAACAATGTAAATGGGCTCAACTCCCCTAATAAAAGAAATAAGATATTTAACCAAATTGCAAAGGGACAATACGATTTAATGGCTCTTCAAGAGACCCACATTGCACAGAAACACATTGCTCACATAGTGTGCAAAAATCTAGGAAAATAATATTATGCCTCAACCTCTGAAAAAAAAAGAGGAGTAGTTATCTATGCAAACCCAAAATTACAAACAGTACTGGTCTTTAGAGACCAAGAGGGGTGCATAATTGGAATTACTCTCAAAATTAATCACTATACCTTACTTATTTGTAATATATACACCCCAAATGGCCCTAAGTCCAAATTTCGTTAATCTCGTTATAGTAATGAAATTTTTACTAAGTATACTTTAGAAACACTTTAGAAATGAAGCCCTCCAGTTTGGTAATGACCTTTGAACCATTTTTAATGGATTGCACATCCCTAATGACTATGTTTTAGACTTGCTCCTTGGAGATTTATCACACGCTCCTTGGCTTTATATGCTTCGGCGGTGAGCTATCTTTATGTTTCGAACTGGGACCTTGAAATGGTCAAAGTGTTTAAGTTAATGTTTCAAGTAAAGTAGCCTTGATACAAGCCTGATGTTAACCTCTGCCGCGTACTGACATGATCACAGTTTGAGGTTTTCTCCTCTTTCCAGGCCTCCGTTGGGGAAATCTTTCCTGGCTTGGCATGACCACGCTTTTGAGAAGAAGGCCGCCGCCGCCCAGGCTTTGTACGAGCGCCACTTGAAACGCAAAGGCTTGGCCGCCTTGCAGTGGGCCGTCCAGCTGAGGAACGTCCAAGCGGACATTGCGCAGAGGAGTCACGCTTTGACCATTATGGCCGCCAGCTTCCGCCGGGTAAGGAGACCCCTTGGGGAGCCACAAATACTCTTTAACACTCGTTCAGAATTCATTCATTCTCCATGCATAGATTACCATCCCTTCTTCCTGCTCCTGGAGAAGACAACTGAACGTGGGACAGAACCTGCAGATCTGCCATTTGGCCGATAAACCATCTTCTCTATCCCTATCTATCCATCTGTCTATCAATCCATTTATCTGTCTGTCTATCTCTACTTTTCTGTATCTACCTGTCCATTTGTCTTTCTGCCTGTCTATCTATACCAGTGGTTCTCACCCTTAATACAGTCCCTCATGTGGTGGTGACCCCCAACCATAACATTGTTTTTGTTGCTACTTCATAACAGTCATTTTACTACTGTTATAAATCATAATGTAAATATCAGATATGCAAGATGTATTTTCATTCACAGGACCAAACTGGGCACAAATACCCAATGCACCTACATGTAAATGCTAGTGGGAGTTTGGGGGAAAGAGATTTTATATTTGGGAGTTGTAGTTGCTGGGATTTATAGTTCACCTACAATCAAAGAGCATTCTGAACTCCACCAACGATGGAATTGAACCAAACTTGGCACACAGAACTCCAATGACCAACAGAGAAAACACTGGGTTTGGTGGGTATTGGCCTTGAGTTTGGGAGTTGTAGTTCACCTATATCCAGAGAGCACTGTGGACTCACGCAATGGTGGATCTGGACCAAACTTGGCACAAATTTGGCACAAATACTCAATGGCACAAACAGAAAATATTTTCAATGGAAAATAGACCTTGACTTTTGGGAGTTGTAGTTGCTGGGATTTATAGTTCATTACAATCAAAGAACATTCTGAACTCCACCAACGATAGAATTGGCTCAAACTTCCCATATGGAATCCCCATGACCATCAGAAAATAGTGTGTTTTCTGATGGTCTTTGGTGACCCCTCTGACACCCCTTCGCAACCCCCTCAGGGGTCCCGACCCCCAGGTTGATAATGTTTAAAACACTATCTATACATCCATCTGCCCATTCATGCGCTCTTCCATCCATCCATTCAACCATCCGCCATTTAGCTATCTATCCATTCAACCACCCATTCAGCTGGCTATCTATCTATCTATCTATCTATCTATCTATCTATCTATCTATCTATCTCTACTTTACTATACCTAACCTATCTATCTATCCACCCACCCATCCTTCTAGCCATCCATTTATCTGTCCATTCAACTATCTGTCTGTCTGCCTGTCTATATCTACCTCTGTCTGCCTGTCCATCCATCCATCTATCTATCCTTTTCTATATCTACCAGTCTGTCCATTTGTCTTTCTGTCTGTCTATTTCTGCCTCTGTCTGTCTGTCTATCCTTCTATCCATTAGGCTTGGGCGATCCAGTTTCTTAATTTCGTAATTCGTTATTAATTCGTATTTAAATTAGCTTACGATCCGATATCGAGCCATGCAGGAATAGTGTGAGGAGTAATTAAGAATCGAAACAATTTTTCCAATTTTCATAATTATTTCGTAATTAATTTGTAATTATTATTTTGGCATCCTTCTTGCCCAAAATTTCTCATTACTTTATTTTTCATACCCTCACTCTATGCCACAGAAATGCGTTGCCAGGTACAGCTAGTATAATATATATAATATAATATAATATAATATAATATAATATAATATAATATAATATAATATAATATAATATAATATACATAATATAATGTTGATAATATTGATAATATTATAATGTAATACAATATAATACTAATAATATTATATTATTATAATACTATTATATTATAGTATTGTATATTATATTATTATATTATATATTATATTACTATATTATTATATTATATTATAATTGTATATTATAATATAATATATATAATATATTATAATATATTATATTATAATATTATATATAATATAATATAATAATATTATAATATAAAGTAATATAATATAATATAATATAATATTATAATATATATAATAATATAATATAATGAACAACAACAATGGGCTTGGGACAGTTTTTTGATAATATAATATAATATATATAGTTGTTGTTTGTTTTATCACACCAACAGTCAACAACAGAGGGAGAGGGAAGCTTCAGAAGTTCCCCCTGTCCCATTTGGAGGTTTTTTTAGCATATTGCGCAATCGCGTCCGCCATTAACGAATCGATTCGTAATTTTACGAAATTTTGTATATTTCGAAATTTTTAAAAGGAAAATTTCGGAATTCTTAAAAAAAACGAAACGCAAGGGCCCCCTAAAAACGAAACGAGTTTAGAACCAAATTTTTCCGTGGTTACCCAAGCCTACTATCCATCTATCCATCCATTTATCTGTCCATCTTCTCCGGTGTACAGAGCTCTGTATTCCTGCAGTCTGCCACACTTTTGGATTGTAAAAAGGTCTCTTATGTAGGATATTTCTTGCTGCCAGTGGCAGGATGCTGCGGCCAAAGAGCGCCAGGCGGGGACGTCCAAGCGTGGCCGAAGTCAGAGGTCACTTCAGGAGAGAGAACCAATCGAACGGCATCCTTTCCTCTCCCAGTTATCTCCGGAGCACCGGGACGAAGCGGCTCGTTACAGCAGGTTTGTCAGCTGAAGGACGAGGAGAACGCACAACCCGATTCGTCTTAAAAGGTCGTCCACATTTCTTGCTTGTTGTTCTCCTTTTCAGGGCGGAAGGAAGCCTATGGATGCAGCTCCGTCATGTGCCGGAAACAGACAACTTGTGCCGGAAAACCGAAGCATTGCGGGACATGAGACGGCTGGCTGGTAGGCCCTCGTTTGGTGCAGTGGGGTTTATCAGGGCGAGCAGAAACCAGGGTCCATGGGAATTGTAGTTCCCCAGATCGCTCGATATCCTCTGCCCCGTCGGGGCTGCAACAAGGGCCAAGCCTGGTCCATAACCACCTCTTTCCCCCTTCTTCCTCAGCAGCTTTTAGATTGTGGCGCCTTCAGAAGGACCGCCTCGAAAAGGAAGAGGCCCAGGTTCAAGAGGCGCGGACTTTTCTGGAGAAGAAGAAGCTGGTGGAGGCCTTCCAGGCGTGGCGGTCCCGTTTCGGGGAAAGCCAAGAAACCCGTCTGCTTTCAGCCAGGATCCAGAGAGGACTGATCAGCCGGTGAGCAAAGCATCACTGCTATGGGCCATCCCAGAGATACAAACATCTGACTTACAAATGACTCACAGTTAAGAACGGGTCTGAGACAACATGGAAAGGAAATTCACTCATGAAGGAATTATTCTTATGGGGAAAAGGGGTTTCAGATGAAGCTTTAGCTCCAACCCCCTGTTCCAACTTACAAACAGCTCCCAACACCAATGTTGCTCCCAGCAACTATCTATTCCAAGCTCTAGCTCTTAATCCAGATCTTTCAAGTGATCCTATATAGATATATATGGCTGGAGTTATGCTTTAAAATGTACCTGTTCTGACTTACAAATAAATTAATCTTAAGAAGAAACGTACAGAACCGATCTTGCTTGTGATGTCGGGGCTGCCTGCGATGGCTTCCAAGATGGGATCCGAAGCAGGATATAAATAAATAGAATAATTGTCCATTTCTTTTTCCCCCCAAGGTGTGATGGCCTCCCTTTCTTTGTCTCCTCCATCCCAAGGTGCTTCGAAGCTTGGAAAGGCTTTGCGAGGCGAGAGGCGTTGAGCCATCAGGGCCTGGAGCTTCTCCGGTTGCGCTCTCTGCATCTCTGTTTCCAGCAATGGAACCGAATGGTGGAGGTCAAGGAGAAGAGCCGGGGAGCGCTACTCGAACTCCTCGCCCTGAAGCAGAGGAGGTCTTACGGTAAGGAAGCACAGCTTTCTGCAGAAATCCGTCCACACTAGGAATCAGGTGTAGGACCAAGTCTAGGTGATGCTTCATCTCTCAGAATTTAGGGATGAACAACAGGGTCTGGGTTCAAGTCTTTGAAATCTCTAGTAGGCCTTTCAAATGCTTTCTGGAGACTCCTTGTGGAGAGAAAAGGGGAGGCATAAATAAACAAGAATCACAACAACAATAATTTGGGGATCATTTGGGGATCACATATACACATATAGACACACACAAAACACATATACACAGACTGGGCCACAGCAACATGTGGCAGGGGACGGCTAGTACACTTTGTTTCCTTTATTTTTCCTTCTTTCCCTTCCTTCTTTTTCTTCCTTCCATCTTTTCTTTTTCTTCCATCCTTCCTTTCCTTGTTTCCTTCCTTCTTTTTCCTCCTCCCTTCTTTCTCGTTTCCTTTTTTCTCTTTCCTTCCTTCCGTCTTTCTTTTCTTTTTCTTCCTTCCTTCCTTTCCTTGTTTCCTTCCTTCATTCTTTTTCCTCTTCCCTTCTTTCTCTTTTTTCTCTTTCCTTCCTTCCATCACCTTTCCTTCCTTCTGTCTTTCTTTTCTTTTTCTTCCTTCCTTCCTTCCTTTCCTTGTTTCCTTCCTTCATTCTTTTTCCTCCTCCCTTCTTTCTCTTTTTCTTTTTTCTCTTTCCTTCCTTCCATCTCTTTTCCTTCCTTCCGTCTTTCTTTTCTTTTTCTTCCTTCCTTTCTTGTTTCTTCCTTTCTCCTTTCCTTCCTTTTCTCTTCTTTCTTTTTCTCTTCCTTTCTTCCTTCTCTTTCCTTCTTCCTTCCGTCTTTCTTTCTTTTCTTCATTCCTTCCTTTCCTTTTCCTTCCTTCATTTTTTCCTCCTCCCTTCTTTCTCATTTCCTTTTTTTCTCTTTCCTTCCATTTACCTTCCTTCCTTCTGTCTTTCTTTTCTTTTTCTTCCTTCTTTCCTTTCCTTGTTTCCTTCTTTCATTCTTTTTCCTCCTCCCTTCTTTCTCTTTCTCTTTTTTTCTCTTTCCTTCCTTCCATCTCTTTTCCTTCCTTCCGTCCGTCTTTCTTTTTCTTCCTTCTTTCCTTTCCTTGTTTCCTTCCTTCATTCTTTTCCCTCTCCCTTCTTTCTCTCTTCCTCTTTTCTCTTTCCTTCCTTCCATCTCTTTTCCTTCCATCCATCTTTCTTTTTCTTCCTTCCTTCCCTTGTTCCCTTCTTTCTTTTCCCTCCTCCCATCTTTCTCTTTTCCTTTTTTCTCTTTCCTTCCTTTCATCTCTTTTCCTTCTTTCTTTTTCTTCCTTCCTTCCTTTCCTTGTTCCCTTATTTCTTTTCCTTCCTCCCTTCTTTCTCTTTTCCTTCCTTCCGTCTTTCTTTTTCTTCCTTCATTTCCTTGTTCCCTTCTTTTTTCCTTCCTTTCTTTTTCCTTTTTCTTTTCCTTCCTTCCATCTCTTTCTCTTCCTCTTTCTTTTTTTTTCTCTCCTTCTTTCCTTGTTCTTCCTCTTTTCCTTCCCTTTTTTCTCTTTCTCTTTTTTCTCTTTCCTTCCTTCCATCTCTTTTCCTTCCTTCTCTCTTTCTTTTTCTTCCTTCCTTCCTTTCCTTCTTCCCTTCCTTCTTTCTTTTCCCTCCTCCCTTCTTTCTCTTTTCCTTTTTCCTCTTTCCTTACTTAAAAATGTACCTGTTCCGACTTACAAACAATTCAGCTTCAGAACAAACCTGCCACTGGCAGCAAGAAATATGCTACATAAGAGACCTTTTTACAATCCAAAAGTGTGGCAGACTGCAGGAATGCAGAGATAGCACTTTGGTAGCAGCTAATGTCGTACTTTGGATCTCTTGTCAAACCTGCAGAACCAATCTTGTTCGTAACCTGGGTGAGCTCAAAGAGGCCTGTTAAGGTCTTGTGAATGGGGCAAGCTTTGGTTCGTATGGACTCTCTCTTTCTCTTCCAGCCCGGTTCGCCTTCGGTCCTGGCTCTTACATTGTCCAGCCCTGTTTGGCCTCCACAAGATGGTCCCAAAGGAACGGAGGGGACACTCTGGACAGCCTTCTCCACGCTTTGGCCTTACAGGCGGCCTTTCAGACCTGGAGGACCAGGCAGCAAGAAGCCCAATTGGCCGTGTAAGGGCTTGACCGCTTGACCACTTGGCCTTCTCTGTCAAAGAGCACCAAACATCCATCCATCCATCTATCTATCTATCTATCCCTTCCTATCTCTGTCTATTTGTTTTCTGTCTATCTCTACCTTCTCTCTCTCTATCTCTATCTCTGCTTTTCTATATTTACCTGTCTGTCTATTTCTACTTCTGTTTGTCTGTGTTTATGTAATGTATCTATCAATCTATTTATCTATCTATTTCTACTTTTCTATGTCCGTCCATTTGTCCTTCTATCTGTCAATATCTCTATCTATCCATTAGGCCTGGGTAACAACGGAAAAATTTGTTTCTAAAATCGATTCGTTTTTTGGGGTTTTTCTCTTTCCTTCCGTCTTTCTTTTCTTTTTCTTCCTTCCTTCCTTTCCTTGTTTCCTTCCTTCATTCTTTAAAAGAATTTAAAAGAATTCCGAAATTTTCCTTAAAAAAAGTTCGATATTTACGAAATTTCGTAAATGGTAAAAAAATTACAAAACAATAACGAAACAATAACGAATCGATTCGTTAATGGCGGCCGCGATCGCGCAATACGCCAAAAAAACTTCTGAAGCTTCCCTCTCCCTCTGTTGTTGATTGTTGGTGTGATATTATAATTTTTTTTCACTAATTAAACAAAAAACAACTATAAAACTTGCCCCAGACATGCGGAAATAATAACGAAACGACCTCAAACCAATAACAAAACGAATACATAACGAAATACGAAGCATTTACGAAACAAATTGAAAAATTCGTTTCGTTTTTAAGTTGCTCCAGAATGGTTCGTTATCGCTTCGTTAACAAAAAAATAACGAATTTTTAACGAATTACGAATTAATGAAACGAAACCGCCCAGCCCTACTATCTATCTATCTATCTATCTATCTATCTATCTATCTATCTATCTATCTATATCATCTAATGTTATCATTTCTGTCTGTCTATACTTCTGTCTGTCCATCCATCCATCCATCCATCCATCTGTCTTTCCATCTATCTATCTATCCATCCATCTATCCATTAGGCTTGGATGATCAAGAAAAAAATGGTTCTAAACTCGTTTCGTATATAGGGGGCGCTGGTGTTTCGATTTTAAAATTATTTCTCAAATTTTCTTGGAAAAAAGATCGGAAATAGCAAAAATCGGAATAGCTTCGTTTACTTCGTTAATGAAAGGTGCCCCCAGTGTCCGTCAAGAAGACCCTGGCGTAGCCACGCCAACCTCATTCCCTAGCCATCCATCGCCCTTTGCAGGCACCCAGGGCAGGGAAAATGCAAGATTACAGGAAGAGCTGGGCGTGGCCACGCACACCTTGCAAAGCCGGCCTCGAAGAGCCGCAGATGCAAAGAGGGAGGAGGTGGGGGTGGGTAACAGCTGTTCCTGAAGGCCACGCCCCCAGCATTTACGATTCACTTGCGGAAGTCGTAAGGAAGATGGCGGACGCGGCTTCGATATGGTGAAAACACTTCCGGGTTGCCAAAACGCGTCGATATCGCTTCGAAAGGTATTAAAATAACGAATTAATAACGAGATAAGAAATTAACTAACTGGATCAACCAAGTCTACTATCCATCTATCTATCTATCTATCTATCTATCTATCTATCTATCTATCTATCCGTTCATCCATCTGTCTGTCCGTCCATCTGTCTTATCTATCCTTTTCAATATCTATCTGTTAGTCCATTTGTCTTTCTGTGTGTCTATACCTCTGTCTGTTTATCTATCCATCTGTCTATCTATCTATTATCTATCTATCTATCTGTATATCTATCTATCTACCATCCATCCATCCATCTGTTTGTCTGTCTGTCTGCCTATCTATTTCAATATCTACCTGTCAATCAATTTGTCTTTCTTTCTGTCTGTCTATACTTCTGTCTACCTATCCATCTATTCATCCACCCATCCATCCTTCTTTCCATCTATCTATCTATCCATCCATCCATCTATCTATCCATTTCAATATCTACCTGTCAATCAATTTGTTTTTCTGTCTATCTATACTTCTTTCTGTCCATCCATCCATCCATCCATCTCTTTCCATCTATCTTTCCATCTATCTTTCCATCTATCTATCTATCTATCTATCTATCTACTATCTATCCATCTATCTATCCATCCATTTAAATATCTATATGTCAATCAATTTGTCTTTCTGTCTGTCTGTACTTCTGTCTATCTATCTGTCTGTCTGTCTCTCTGTCTGTCTGTCCATCTGTCTTATCTATCCTTTTCAATATCTACCTGTTAGTCCATTTGTCTTTCTGTGTGTCTATACCTCTGTCTGTTTATCTAGCTGTCTGTCTATCTATCTATCTATCTATCTATCTATCTATCTGTCCGTCTGTCTATTTCAATATCTACCTGTCAGTCCTTTGTCTTTCTGTCTGTCTATACCCCTGTCTGTGTGTCTATTGACCCTAAAGCAGAGACCTAGGCATTGAGGGCGGTGTCCCGACTCTCTTTCACCTGCTTCCAGGTGGTTTGGCCGAGACGTGGAGCGGCGCCACCTGCGGGGCTGTTGGGAGCGCTGGCGCTGGAAGGCCCTCTCTGCGAACGGGGTGGGACTGGACTCCGGGGACCGACCCCTGACCTCGCCTGACCTTTCAGAGGTGTCGCTGTCCTCCGGCTTCCACAGCGGAGGGGCTGCTCCACTCCCTTGGTTGGGAAAGGTGAGAGGTTCACACCTGGGTCCGGGAGGTAGCCGTCCGTTGCACCCTTGTCATGGCTTTACGGGTGTCTCTTCCTCCTTCCGATGTAGGGGAGCAGCCAGGAAAGCAGCAGCCGCGCAAGCGTCTCTTCCTGGGCCGCGATGGAAGATTCCGGGCTCTTCCACGATGATTCTCCATCTTTGGAAGATATCATCAATGCCGCCCTCGAATGCCGGGCGACTTCTACTCGGCGGTGAGTCTATTTCGGAAGTGACACTCTCTCGGCTTCAAAGGCAATCAAGTGACATTCAGAGATTATGATGGTGATGGTGATGATGGTCCCTTTTGATTCGTCCCACAGGGAGAATCGCTTCCAAACGTTGAGGTTCCTCAACCCAGGCAGTGAGGGGAAAGCCATCTTGGCCAATTTGAGGCAGACGAGACGCGGGGACAATGCAACAGAGGTCAATGCCAGAGACCCGAGTGCGAATTTGCCACGGGCAGAACTTCTCCAGGGGCCACAAGATCAGAGGAGAGTCCTAGCGAAATACTTTGGACTTTGGTCAACTTCGACACATCAGAACCAGGAGGTCTCTCACCATCGGAGACAACTCCTGTCCCGGTAAGGATGGATGGACAACCTCAGTTTGCACCTTCCTCAATCTCCTCCAATCTTCTCTTCCTTTAATTCACGGCTTTGGATAGCTGGGCCGTTGATATGTTTTGAATGGATGATCAATGGATAGATAGATGGATGGATGGATGGATGGATGGATGGACGGACGGACGGACGGACGGAGGGATGAACAGATGGATGAATTCATGGATGGATGGATGGATTGATAGATAGATGGGTGGGTGGTTGGTTGACTGGATTAATGGAGGGATGGATGGATGAATTGATGGTTCAGTGAAAGGCTCAATTGATAAATGGTTAGTTGGATGGATGAATAGATAGATGAATAAATGGATAGATGGATGGATCAACGGATGGATGGATGATTGGGTAGGTGGGTGGTTGAATGGAGGAATAAATGGAGGAATGGATGGATAGATGGATAGGGAGATGGTTGAATGAATCAGTAGTTGGGTGGATCAGTGGATGGCTGACTAGACAGATGAAGTGATGGTTGGATGGATGGCTGAATGGATGGTTGAACAAATTAGTGCATGGATGGATCAATGGATGGTTGAATGGATAAATCAATTGATAGATTAATCAATGGATGGATCAATGGATAGGTGGATGGAGAGACAGTTGAATTAATCAGTGAATGGATGAATGTATTGATAGGCAGAGGGATGGATCATTGGATAAATGGATGAATAGATAGATGGTTGGATGGATGAATAGATAGATAGATATATGAATTGATGTATGGGATCAATGGATGGAGAGATAGTTGAACGAATCAGTGGATGGATGGATGGATGGATGGATGGATGGATGGATGGATGGGTGGAGAGATAGTTGAATAAATAGATGAATGAATGGATTGATAGATTGATGGATGGTTGAATGGATGAATAGATCAATCAATGAAGCGATCAATGGAGGGATCAATGGATGGAGACATGGTAGGATGAATACATGGGTGGATGAATAGGTCAATGGATGGGTGGTTGGGTGGAGAGATAGCTGAATAAATAGATGAATGAATGGATTGATGGATGGATGGATGGATGGTAGATGGGTGGTTGAATGGATGAATAGATCAATCAATGAAGCGATCAATGGAGGGATCAATGGATGGACACATGGTTGGTTGGATGAATACATAGATGGATGGTTGGATGGATAGATCAATGGATGGGTGGTTGGGTGGAGAGATAGTTGAATAAATAGATGAATGAATGGATTGATAGATGGATGGATGGTAGATGGATGGTTGAATGGATGACTAGATCAATCAATGAAGTGATCAATGGAGGGATCAATGGAGGGACACATGGTTGGATGAATACATAGATGGATGGTTGGATGGATAGGCCAACCAACAGATGGATGGAGAGTTGGTTGAATGAATCAGTGGATGGTTGGATAGATGGATGGTTGGGTGGGTGAATCAGTGGATGGATCGATGAATGAAATCAATGGAGGGATAGATATATGAATTGATGGATGGATGAATTAATGGATGGAGAGATAGTTGAACAAATCAGTGGATGGATGGATGGCTCAATGGATGGATGGTTGGGTGGAGAGATAGTTGAATAAATAGATGAATGAATGGATTGATAGATTGATGGATGGCTGAATGGATAAATAGATCAATCAATGGAGGGATCAATGGATGGACACATGGTTGGATGAATACATAGATGGATGGTTGGGTGGATGAATAGGTCAATGGATGGGTTGTTGGGTGGAGAGATAGTTGAATAAATAGATGAATGAATGGATTGATAGATGGATGGATGGATGGTAGATGGGTGGTTGAATGGATGAATAGATCAATCAATGAAGCAATCAATGGAGGGATCAATGGAGGGACACATGGTTGGATGAATACATAGATGGATGGTTGGATGGATAGGCCAACCAACAGATGGAGGGAGAGTTGGTTGAATGAATCAGTGGATGGTTGGATAGATGGATGGTTGGGTGGGTGAATCAGTGGATGGATCGATGAATGAAATCAATGGAGGGATAGATATATGAATTGATGGATGGATGAATTAATGGATGGAGAGATAGTTGAACAAATCAGTGGATGGATGGATGGCTCAATGGATGGATGGTTGGGTGGAGAGATAGTTGAATAAATAGATGAATGAATGGATTGATAGATTGATGGATGGTTGAATGGATGAATAGATCAATCAATGAAGCGATCAATGGATGGACACATGGGTTGGATGAATACATAGATGGATGGTTGGGTGGATGGTTCAGTCCTGCCTCCTCTCCACCCGTCCAGGCCTTTTGATGGTGACCCTGCACTGCGCAGGGCCCAGGCCTGGTTCGAGCGCACCCAGCGTCGCCGCCTCCTGTCGTCCTGCTTTGGGAAATGGAAAGCGGCATCCCAAAGAGCCGGACAACGAAGGCAAGAGGCGGAAATCCAATCCGAAGTGAAGCGGCGGTCCCTCCGGCGCTGGAGGAGGGCGGCCAGGGGCTACCGGGCCTTGCGCTTGAGCTCCGTGAATCAGGTGAGACCCAGATAAATTGGAGGGGACCCCAAAGGTCATCCAGTCCAACCCCAGGAGGTTCACCTCGAGTTGTGTTGTTGTTGGTTTCAATTCCGTGCTTATTTCCAGGCTGGGAACTACTGGACCCGGGCTGCCGCTTTGCGCCAATGCCGCCGCCAAAGGAGCAGCCTCATCGGACCCCAGAAATTCACCAAATTGTTCCCGACTTGGCCATGCCGTAAGTATAATAAAACTCCCATGTTCTAGGAAGTGGAAATAATAATAATAATAATAATAATAATAATAATAATAATAATAAATATTATATTATATATTATAATAATAAATAGTGTATATAATATATATATAAACACACTATAATATATCATAAATAATGTAATATATAATATAATTTATTATAATATATAGCAACATAACATAATCTATATACAATTTGTTATATATAATACTAGCTTGGAGACCCGGCACTGCCCGGGTTATTTGAGAAAGGCATTGTGTGCCAAGGTTGGTCTTGATCAGTTATTTATGTGGCTCGCAATGGACTCACGAAGTTATTGAAGATACTGCGAGTCCCATCGTCCATGGTCCATCCTCCTCCAAACTGCACCAGGAAGTAGAGTGGGTCATGAGGGCTCTGTGTGCTAAGTTTGGTCTTGATCAGTCATTTGCGAGGGTCTCAGTGGTCTCAGGAAGTGAGTAAAGGTACTTCAAGTCCCATCATCCGAGGTCCATCTTCCTCCAAACTGCACCAGGATGTAGAGTGGGTCATGGGGGCTCTGTGTGCCAAGTTTGGTCTTTATCGGTCTTTGTTGGGGGCCACAGTGGTCTGTGGGAACCAAAGGGTTTGAAAGTACTACAAATCCCATCATCCATTGTCCGTCCTCCCCCAATCCCCACCAGGATGTAAAGAGGGTCATGGGGGCTCTGTGTGTCAAGTTTGGCCTTGATCAGCCATTGGATGAGGGTCGCTGTGGTTTCAGTAAGTGAACTTGAGTGAAGGTACTTGATCAGTCATTGGATTAGGGTCGCTGTGGTTCCAGTAAGCAAGTCCCATCATCCATGATCCACCCTCCTGCAAAATGAAACAGGATGTAGATAGGGTCATGGGGGCTCTGTGTGCCAAGTTTGGTCTTGATCAGCCATTGGATGAGGGTTGCAGTGGTTTCAGTAAGTGAGTGAAGGTACTGCAAGTCCCATCATCCATGGTCCACCCTCCTCCAAAATGAAACAGGATATAGATAGGGTCATGGGGGCTCTGTGTGCCAAGTTTGGTCTTGATCAGTCATTGGATGAGGGTCGCAGTGGTTTCAGTAAGTGAGTGAAGGTACTGCAAGTCCCATCATCCATGGTCCACCCTCCTCCAAACTGCAGATATAAAGTCAGTCATGGGGGCTCTGTGTGCCAAGTTTGGTCTTGATCAGTCATTGGATGAGGGTCGCAGTGGTCTCAGGAAGTGAGTGAAGTGACTGCAACTCCCATCATCCATTGACAAATTCTTCCAAACTGCACCAGGATGTAGAGTGGGTCATGCGGGCTCTCTGTGTAAATTGTGGTCCTGATCCATCATTGTTGGCAGTTGTAATGGTCTTAGGAAGGGAGTGCAGGTATTGCAAGTCCCATCGTCCATGGTGCATCCAAAATGCACCAGGATGTAGAGTGTGTCATGGTGACTCAGTGTTTCAAGTTTGGTCTTTATCGGTAATTGGATGAGGGTTGCAGTGGTCTCAAGAATTGAACAAAGGTACTGCAAGTCCCATAATCCATGGTCCATCCCCATGGCCAAACCACACCAGGATATAGATAATATATATAACACATATTATATATATGCATATATATATATATATATATATTGTTATTTATAATAATTTATTATTATTATTTCGTTACCCATCTCTTCCTTGCTTTCTTCTTCAAGGCCAACGATGGAGCCGGGAAGAGGACTCCAACTCGTGCAGCTCTTTCCGGTTTTGGCTGACCACGTATCGAGGCCAAAGCAGGACGCGACGGACGCAAGAAGATACGGATCCATTGGGACAGAGATGTAAACAAAGAGAGTCGATGGCCGGGGAAAAGCAACGGCTTGGGTAAGACTCGTCGTTTCCGGAGGACTTAGATCATGCCTTCCCTCCTGGCAGAATGGGGTTGGGCTGGATGCCCTTTGGGGTTCCCTCCCGGCACTACCAATCTTTGTGTCCTGGTTCCAGAAGGAAGTATTTGCGCGTCTGGAGGCACGGCGTCTTCCTGCGCCAATTGCGAGCCGCGAAGGACAGCCGGCGAATGGTGAGAGCGTGGATGCTCTGGAAGGAGGCTTGCAGGACGAACCTTCTCGTCAACACCTTGGTGAGTTCTCCAGAATGTCAATATTGGAGGCAGCACACTTTAAATTCCATATATATATAATGTAATATATCTATATATGTATGACTATATATGGGGGTTCTGTGTGGGGTTGGTGGAGGACGACAGAGATGCTGTGATAGCTAAATGCAAACATGACTACTGGAATGCCCCCCGGGAATGACCCCTATCGTTGGTGGGGTTCAGAATGCTCTGTGATTGTAGGTGAACTATAAATCCCAGCAACTACAACTCCCAAATGTCAAGATTCTATTTTCCCCAAACTCCACCAGTGTTTACATTTGGGCATATTGAGTATTCGTGTAGAGTTTGGTCCAGATCCATCATTGTTTGAGTCCACAGTGATCTCTGGATGTAGGTGAACTACAACTCCAAAACCAAAGAACACTGCCCACCAAACCCTTCCAGTATTTTCTGTTGGTCATGGGAGAACTGTGTGCCAAGTTTGGTTCAATTCCATCGTTGGTGGGGTTCAGAATGGTCTTTGATTGTAGGTGAACTATAAATCCCAGCAACTACAACTCCCAAATGTCAAGGTCTATTTCCCCCAAACTCCACCAGTGTTCACATTTGGGCATATTGAGTATTCTAGAGTTTGGTCCAGATCCATCATTGTTTGAGTCCACAGTGATCTCTGGATGTAGGTGAACTACAACTCCAAAACCAAAGGACACTGCCCACCAAACCCTTCCAGTATTTTCTGTTGGTCATGGGAGAACTGTGTGCCAAGTATGGTTCAATTCCATCGTTGGTGGGGTTCAGAATGCCCTTTGATTGTAGGTGAACTATAAATCCCAGCAACTACAACTCCCAAATGTCAAGATTCTATTTTCCCCAAACTCCCCAGTGTTCACATTTGGGCATATTGAGTATTCGTGTAGAGTTTGGTCCAGATCCATCATTGTTTGAGTCCACAGTGATCTCTGGATGTAGGTGAACTACAACTCCAAAACTAAAGGCACACTGCCCACCAAACCCTTCCAGTATTTTCTGTTGGTCATGGGAGAACTGTGTGCCAAGTTTGGTTCAATTCCATCGTTGGTGGGGTTCAGAATGCTCTTTGATTGTAGGTGAACTATAAATCCCAGCAACTACAACTCCCAAATGACAAAATCATTTTTTGAGTGAAGGACATACATTGGGTTGTTAGGTGCCTGGTGTCCACATTTGGTGTCAATTCCCCCAGTGGTTTTTGAGTTCTGTTAATCCCACAAACGAACATTACATTTTTATTTATATAGATGAATATTATTATTGTTGTTGTTGTTGTTATTATTACACTATGTAACGATTATTATGTTATATATAACATATTATATCATATATAAAATATACTATATATATTATCTGTATATAATATGGTGTATATAATATATTACATACTTTGAATGTATGTATTGTATGTATGTATATACGTATGAATATATATATTATGTATTATATAATATAGATATATTTAGTTTATTATGTTATATATAACATATATCATATATAAAATAAACTATAATTTATATATTCTATATATATATGTATATATTACATACTCTCTGTATGTATGTATTGTATGTACGTATGAAATATATATATATATATATATATATACACACACAATATAATGTAATATATAATATAGATATAATACATAGTTTATTATGTTATATATAACATATCATATATAGAATATACTATAGTTTATATATTATCTATATATATGATGTATATATTTTTACATACTCTTTGAATTTATGTATTGTATGTATGTATACACATATGAATATATATATATGATATATACTATAATGTATTAATATATAATATAGGTATAATATATAATTTATGTTATATATAACACATTATATCATATATAAAATATACTATAATATATATTATCTCTATATAATACGGTGTATATAATATATTACATACTCTCTGTATGTATTGTATGTATGTATGAAATATACACTTTATTATGTTATAACATATTATATCATATATAAAATATACTATAATTTATATATTATCTATATATGATGTATATATTACTCTATGTATGTATGTATGTATGTATGGGGGTGGTGACGGCCGACAGGGAGCTCTGGCGTGGGCTGGTCCATGAGGTCACGAAGAGTCGGAGACGACTGAACGAATGAACAACAACAAAATGAAATATATATATGATATATACTATAATGTATTATAATATAGATATAATTTATACAGTTTATTATGTTATATATGACATATCATATATAACATATAATAAACTGTATATACATACATAATGTAATATTATATTATATACTTATTATTATTATTTATTTTATTTATTATAATAATATATTATATACATCATATATAATATGATGTATATAATATATACTCTATGTATGTATTGTATGTATGTACGCATGAAAATATGTACGTATGTTTGTACTTCAAAGGCTCCTCCTTGGGTTGATGGATTGGCTCCAATCCTGACACACTTACCTTTTATGACTCAAATTAAAATACTGGTTGGGTTTCAATGACAAAATCCATCCCGTTCAGGGGTTGGGACCCCCAAAATGAATAATCGGGTCCATATTCCCACAATGCTTGGATGCAATCACAAGGGGGCGACATAGAGACGGAAAGAGCTAGTTGAGCATTGGAAGAGGGCGAGATGTTCTAAGGGAGGCCTTCTGAGATGATGATGATTTTTTTTATCGTGTCATCCGCAACCAGAACATTGTATTACATTTCTAACAGAACAAAACAAACAAACAGATTAAAAAAAACACACAATTTGCAAACTTGGTAGTTGATTAAATGTCCTTTGACCAGTATCTGGCCACTTGGAGTGCCTCTGGTGTTGCCGCAAGGAGGTCCTCCATTGTGCATGTGGCAGGGCGCAGGTTGCATTGCAGCAGGTGGTCAGTGGTTTGCTCTTCTCCGCACTCGCATGTCGTGGATTCCACTTTGTAGCCCCATTTCTGAAGGTTGGCTCTGAATCTCATGGGGCCAGAGCGCAGTCTGTTCAGCGCCTTCCAAGTCGCCCAGTCTTCTGTGTGCCCGGGGGGGAGTCTCTCATCTGGTATCACCCACGGATTGAGGTTCTGGGTTTGAGCCTGCCACTTTTGGACTCTCGCTTGCTGAGGTGTTCCAGCGAGTGTCTCTGTAGATCTAAGAAAACTATTTCTTGATTTAAGTCGTTGACGTGCTGGCTGATACCCAAACAAGGGATGAGCTGGAGATGTCTCTGCCTTGGTCCTTTCACTATTGGCTGCTACTTCCCGGCGGATGTCAGGTGGTGCAATACTGACTAAGCAGTGTAATTTCTCCAGTGGTGTGGGGCGCAGACACCCCGTGATAATGCGGCATGTCTCATTAAGAGCCACATCCACTGTTTTAGCGTGGTGAGATGTGTTCCACACTGGGCATGCGTACTCAGCAGCAGAGTAGCACAGCGCAAGGGCAGATGTCTTCACTGTGTCTGGTTGTGATCCCCAGGTTGTGCCAGTCAGCTTTCGTATGATACTGTTTCTAGCGCCCACTTTTTGCTTGATGTTCAGGCAGTGCTTCTTGTAGGTCAGAGCACGGTCCCAGATGTTCAGGCAATGCTCCAGTGGGATTCCTTCCCAGGTAATAATCCTCAGAGCTCAGGATGCTTGTCTGTTCTTGAGATGAAAAGCACATGTTTGTGTTTTAGATGGATTAGGGATCAGTTTTCCCTGTAGTAGGCAGTTAGAGCACCTAGAGCTTCGGAGAGCTTCTGTTCAACCATCTCAAAGCTCCCTGCTTGAGCGGTGATGGCACGATCATCAGCATAGATGAAACTCTCTGTCCCTTCTGGCCATGGCTGGTCATTTGTGTAGATGTTGAACATGGATGGAGCAAGCACGCTCCCCTGAGGCAGGCCGTTCTTCTGTTTCCGCCATCTGCTCCTCTGGCCCTGGAACTCAACAAAAAAGCTCCTGTTTTGTAGCAGGTTTCCTATGAGGCGGGTGAGGTGGTCGTCCTTTGTGATATTATACATTTTTCTCAGGAGGATGATGATGATGATGATTATTGTTGTTGTGATGGTCAATAGGCACAGCAGAGGCTGGCCGAATGGGGCTGGACGACGTGGCGCCGGCGATGCCTTCAGGGATGGGTGGCCGAGCGCTTCCTGGACACCGACAACCGGCATTTGCTCCGGAAGGTGAGTCTCGCTCTATGTTATGGGACATCCTATGTATGGAAAACCCCAAACGGAGGGTCTATTATGGGAGGATTCTGTAACCGTTCCTCTCCTTTCTTCCTCAACATAGGCCTTTGGACGCTGGAGGCAGCTGGCAGACGCATCTCGACACCAGGCCAACGTCCATCGCTAGCAGAAGAACATACATACATACATACATACATACATACATACATACATACATATATATTTCAGGACTGTCGGTTGCATGCCTCGTATCCCTGTAATCCACAGAAAATAAATTTGGTCCAAACCATTGCGAGACCACTCAAACCAATACGGAGTGATCAAATAACCTTCTATCCCTCCTTCCTGTCCTTCTTTCTTTCCTCTTCCATTGTTTCCATCTTCCTCTCTCCCTCCTTCCTTCCATCCATCTCGTTTCCATCCCCCTTCCTTCCCTTGTTTCCATCCCGATCCCTTTCTATCTATCTCCTCCCTCCCTCCCTTTTTCTTTCTTTCCTTTTCTTCCTTCTTTTCATCCATCCATCCCTTTTTCCTTCCCTTCTTTCCTCGTTTCCTTCCTTCCTTTTCCCTCCTCCTTTCTTTTCCCTGTCCTTCCTTCCTTCATCTCTTTTCCTTCCACCCATCTTTCTTTTTACTTCCTTTCTTTGCTTGTTTCCTTTCTTCCTTCTTTTCCCTGTTCTTCCTTCCTTCATCTCTTTTCCTTCCATCTTTCTTTTTTACTTCCTTCGTTTCCTTCCTTCCTTCATCTCTTTTCCTTCCATCTTTCTTTTTTACTACCTTCCTTTCCTTGTTTCCTTTCTTCCTTCTTTTCCCTGTTATTCCTTTCCTTCCTTCATCTCTTTTCCTTCCATCCATTTTTTTACTTCCTTCCTTTCCTTGTTTCCTTCTTTTCCCTGTTCTTCCTTCCTTCCTTCATCTCTTTTCCTTCCATCTTTTTTACTTCTTTTCTTTCCTGGTTTCCTTTCTTCCTTCTTTTCCCTGTTCTTCCTTCCTTCCTTCTTTCATCTCTTTTCCTTCCATCCATATTTTTTACTCCCTTCTTTTCCTTGTTTCCTTTCTTCCTTCTTTTCGCTGTTCTTCCTTCCTTCCTTCATCTCTTTTCCTTCCATCTTTCTTTTTTCCTTCCTTCCTTTCCTTGTTTACTTTCTTCTTTCTTTTCCCTGTTCTTCCTTCCTTCATCTCTTTACCTTCCATCCATCTTTCTTTTTTACTACCTTCCTTTCCTTGTTTCCTTTCTTCCTTCTTTTCCATTCTTCCTTCCTTCCTTCATCTCTTTTCCTTCCATCTTTTTTACTTCCTTCCTTTCATTGTTTCCTTTCTTCCTTCTTTTCCCTGTTCTTCCTTCCTTCCTTCTTTCATCTCTTTTCCTTCCTTCCACCTTTTTTACTCCCTTCCTTTTCTTTTTTCATTTCTTCCTTCTTTTCCCTGTTCTTCATTCCTTCTTTCCTTCATCTCTTTTCCATCCATCTTTCTTTTTTACTTCCTTCCTTTCCTTGTTTCCTTTCTTCCTTCTTTTCCCTGTTCTTCCTTCCTTCCTTCATCTTTTTTCCTTCCATCTTTTTTACTTCCTTCCTTTCCTTGTTTCCTTCTTTCTTTTCCCTGTTTTTCCTTTCTTCCTTCTTTTCCTTCCATCTTTCTTTTTTACTACCTTCCTTTCCTTGTTTCCTTTCTTCCTTCTTTTCCCTGTTATTCCTTCCTTCCTTCATCTCTTTTCCTTCCATCCATCTTTTTTACTCCCTTCTTTTCCTTGTTTCCTTTCTTCCTTCTTTTCGCTGTTCTTCCTTCCTTCCTTCATCTCTTTTCCTTCCATCTTTCTTTTTTCCTTCCTTCCTTTCCTTGTTTACTTTCTTCTTTCTTTTCCCTGTTCTTCCTTCCTTCATCACTTTTCCTTCCATCTTTCTTTTTTACTTCCTTTCCTTGTTTCCTTTCTTCCTTCTTTTCCCTGTTCTTCCTTCCTTCCTTCCTTCCTTCATCTCTTTTCCTTCCATCTTTCTTTTTTCCTTCCTTCCTTTCTTTGTTTACTTTCTCCTCTTTCATCTCTTTTCCTTCCTTCCACCTTTTTTACTCCCTTCCTTTTCTTTTTTCATTTCTTCCTTCTTTTCCCTGTTCTTCATTCCTTCTTTCCTTCATCTCTTTTCCATCCATCTTTCTTTTTTACTTCCTTCCTTTCCTTGTTTCCTTTCTTCCTTCTTTTCCCTGTTCTTCCTTCCTTCCTTCATCTCTTTTCCTTGCATCTTTCTTTTTTACTTCCCTCCTTTCCTTGTTTCCTTTCTTCTTTTCCTGTTCTTCCTTCCTTCTTTCATCTCTTTTCCTTCCATCCATCTTTCTTTTTCACTTCCTTATTTCTTTTCTCTCCTCCCTTCTTTCCCTTTTTCTTTCTTTCCCTTCCTTCCTTTTTCTTCCTTCTTTTACTTGTTTCCTTCCTTCCTTCCTTTCCTTCCCCCTCTTTTTGACCTTTCTTGTTTCTTTCTTTCCTTCCTTCTCTTTTCCTTCTGCTTTGATCCCTTCGTCTGCCCGCTTTTTGTCCAGACCACGGCTCCGTCCTTCCGCAGCTGGAAACCCAGACTATTAGGATGATGAGGACGGATCCTGCTGAGGAGCGGCTGTGTTCCCCACCTGCTTCCCTTCGGATTCTTTCCCTCCTGGCTCATTATCTCTCGCTGTTATTGATCGGCTGGGATTAGCCTCCCAAAAGAGAAAGAAAGAAAAGGAAGGAAGAAAAGTAAAGAAAGGGAAGGAAGGAAGGAAGTAGGGAAAAGGAAGGAAAGAAAGAAAAAAGGAAGGAAAGGAAGAAAAAAACAAAGGAAAGAAGGAAAGGAAGGAAGAAAGAAAGAAAAAAAGAAAGGAAAAAAGAAGAAAAGAAAAGAAAAAGGAAGGAAAGAAGAAAAAAGAAAGAAAAGAGAAAAGAAAAGAAAAAGAAAGAAAAAAGAAAAGAAAGAAGAAAGAAAAGAAAAAGAGAAAGAAAGGAAGGAAGGAAGGAAAGGAAGGAAAGAAAGAAAAAAGAAAGAGAAGGAAGGAGGAAAGAAAGAAGGAAAGGAAGAGAAAGAAAAAAGGGAAAGGAAGGAAAGGAAAAGAAAGAAAGAAGGAAGGAAAGAAGGAAAGGAAAGAAGGAAAAGAAAGAAAGAAAAAGAAAGGGAAGGAAAGAGGAAAAAGAAGGAAGGAAAGAAAAAGGAAGAAAATAAAGAGAAAGAAAGGAAAGAAAGGAAAGAAGACAAGAAACTAAGGGAAAAAAGAAAGAAGGAAAGGAAAGGAAAGAAGGAAAAGGAAAGAAAGAAAAGAAAAAGAAGGAAAGGAAAGGAAGAAAAAAAAGGAAAGGACAGAAGGTGAGCTTTCAAGTTGTGTCCAATTAAAATCAAGCAGATCATCATAATCACAATACACAATGAGGCCACACTCGAGCCCAAAGAGTTAGAATTCTGCTTTAATTCCATTTTGACCACTATTTTATTTTTTTAAATAAGTTCTCACATATCCAAACTACACAATTGAGAGAGAGAGAAAAAAACTTTTGTTAAAAACTATCCGGCCATCTTAATAATATAATAACAGTAATAGTAATAAAAACCAAAATAAATAGTATAATCAGTTTCCTGGAGGACAGACCCAAGTTACCCCAGGTCTCAGGATTTACCTGGGGAAAAAAGGAACTTCCGAACAAGCGAAATCACATTTACCCCTGGTCGAAATGCTTCGCTATGAAGCAGTGAATTCTTATTATGGATGAGTGAGTTGTGCTTTAGGGGGCAAATCAAAGTCTGAAATGTATAATGGGTTGGTGGGTTGCTCTTTATGGGGCGAATCCCATTGCTCGTAACTCGCAAGGCTTCTGAGGTGAAGTCTCAAAAGTATCGACACGTTGTTGGGTTGTGGTTTTAGAAGGACATGACGTATGGAAAGGGTGTTAGGATGCCCAGCTCTCCTTAGGGCTACTGAAGGGTCGGGAAGGTTTCCGCACCAATCCAAAGAGCACTCGTACCAATGGAAAAGGTACTCACGCCCATCAAAGAGGCACTTGTAAGAATCCAAAGGGCACTCGTAGCCATTGAAAGGGCACTCGTACGAATGAAAACAACATTCATACCCATCGAAAAGGTACTCGTACCCACTGAAAAGGTACTCGTACCCACTGAAAAGGTACTCGTACCCACTGAAAAGGTACTCGTACCCACTGAAAAGGTACTCGTACCCATCGAAAAGGTACTCATACCCACCGAAAAGGTACTTGTACCCATTGAAAAGGTACTCGTATCTATTGGAACTGCACTCGTACCCATTGAAAAGGCACTCATACCAATCCAAAGGGCACTCATACCAATCAAAACAGTACTCGTACCAATCCCAAGGGCATTCATACCCATTGAAAGGGCAGTTGTACCTTTCGAAACTGCACTCATACCCATTGAAAAGGTACTCGTACCCTCGGAAGGACACTCATACCCATCGAAAGGACACATACCCATCCAAAGGGCACTTATACCTATCGAAATGGCACTCGTACCAACTGCAACGGTACTTGTACCAATCCAAAGTTCATTTGTACCAATCGAAAGGGCACTCATACCCATTGAGAAGGTACTTGTACCAACTGAAAGGACACCCATACCAATCCAAAGGGCACATGTACCAATACAAAGGGCATTCCTACGTATCGAAAGGGCACTCGTACCAATCCAAAGGGCACTTGTACCTATCGAAAGGGCACTTGTACCCATTGAGAGGGCACTTGTACCTATCGATAGGGCACTCGTACCCATTGAGAAGGCACTTGTACCAATTGAAAGGGCACACATACCAATCCAAAGGGCACGTACCAATCCAAAGGGCACTCGTACCTATCAAAAGGCACTAATACTTATCAAAAGGCACCCGTACCAATACAAAGGGCATGCATATCTATCGATAGCGCACTTGCACCGATCCAAAGGGCACATTTACCAATACAAAGGGCACTCCTACCTATCAAAAGGGTACGCATATCGATCGATAGCGCACTTGCACCGATCCGAAGGAGACATGTACCAACTGTAAAGGTTCCAGAACCAACCAAAAAGGAACTTGAGGATCATTCCCAGACTTTGGGGGCCGAAGGAGGGGAAAAGGGCAGGGGAAGCGCAGCCAAGACCCTCCCCCCCCCCCAAAGTGGAGTGTGTCTTTCGCTGCAACCTCCCATGGTGGCTCAATGTCCCGAAGGGCAACTCCCCGCCTCGGCCGGACAGTTCAGGAGGTGATACATGTCCTCCAGCACCTGCCAGAGGCAGCTCTCCAGGGGGAAGTCGTTGTCCACCAGGTTGACCAGGAAGTAGTTGTCGTGGATGTACTGGATGATCATGCGGGAGGGGGACTCCTCCTCGTAGAGCTTGGCCCACTGCTCGATCCACAGGGCAAAGGCCTCGTCCTGCCCGCAACCAAAGAAAGAGAAGGCTCCGTTATAGGAGGATGAGTGGAAGATCAAGAAGGAGATGGGACTTAGAACTGGGTTCAGAACCAGACTGGGAATAATAACGCCTGTCTGGAGCAGAAAGAAAGAACGCACGGCTCAACTTTCCAAATTTGGGAACTTTCCGCCATCTTAGATCCTGGGTCAACACTCAAAAGTCTTGATTTGATGGTTTCACCAGCATAAAATACAGACAAAGGGAGTAAAGAAGGAGGAGAAGAAGAAGGTGAAGGAGAAGTAGAATAAGAAGAATGAGGAAAAAGAAAAGAAGAAAAAGAAAGACAAAAAGAAGAGAGGAAAAGAATGAGCAAAAAGGGAAGGAGAATGAGGATGAAAAGAATGAGGAGAAAGAGAATGAGGAGAAAGAATGAGGATAATAGGGAGGAGGAGGAGAAGGAAGAGATGTAGAAGAATGAGGAAAAGGGGAAGGAGAAGAATGAGAAGAAAAAGAGGAAAAAGAAGAGGAAGGCGGTGGAAGAGAAGGAAGAGAATGAGAAGAATGAGGGAAAAGGGAGGAGAAGGAGAAGAAAAAGGAGGAGGAAAAGAATGAGGAAAAAGGGAAGAAGGTGGTGGAGAAGAAAGAGAAGAAGTAGAAGGAGGAAAAAGGAGAGGAGAGAAGAAAAGAACAAGGAAAATGAGGGAAAAGAGGAAGAGAAGAAGAGAAGAAATAGAATGAGAAAATGGATGAAAGAGTGGAAAAGAAGGAGAATGAGAGGAGAAAAGAATGAGGAGAAAGAAGGAAAAGAAAGGGAGGAGAAGGAGAAGAATGAGAGGAGGAAAAAGAGGAAAGGGGAAGAAGGGGTGGAAAAGAGAGAATGAGGAAGAATAAGAATAAGAACAAGAGAAAATGAGGAAAAAGAGGAAGGAGAAGGAGAAGAAGAAATAGAATGAGAAAAATGAGGAAAAAGAAAAGGTGGAAAAGAAGGAGAATGAAAGGAGGAAAAGAATGAGGAGGAGGTGGAGAAGGAAGAGAAGAAGGAGGAAAAAGAAGGAGAAATAGGAGGGAAGAAGAAGTAGAATGAGGAGAAAGAGGAGAAAGAAGAGAAGAATGAGAGAAAAATGAGAAAAAAGGAGAAAAATAGAAGAATGAGGAAGGAAGAGAAGGAGGGAGAAGAACAAGTAGAATGAGGAGGAGGAGGGGAATGAGGAGAAAGAAGGGAAGGAGGAAAAAGAGAAAGAGGAGAAGAATGAACAGGAGAAAATGAGGAAAAGAGGAAGGAGAAGGAAGAGAAGAAATAGAATGAGGAAGAATGAGGAAAAGGTGGAAAAGAAGGAGAATGAGAGGAGGAAAAGAATGAGGAAAAAGAGAAGAAGGAGGTGGAAAAGGAAGAGGGAGAAGAAGGAGGAAAAAGAAGGAGAAATAGAAGAGGGAGAAGAAGAAATAGAATGAGAAAGAGGAGAAAGAAGAGAATGAGAAAAAAGGAGAAATAGGAGGGAAGAAGTAGAATGAGGAGAAAGAGGAGAAAGAAGAGAAGAACGAGAAAAAAGGAGAAATAGAAGGAGAGGAGAAGTAGAATGAGAAGAAACAAGAGAAGAAGGAGAAAAGGAGAAATAGAAGAAGAATGAGGAAGGAAGAGAAGGAAAGAGAAATAGAAGAAGAATGAGGAAGGAAGAGAAGGAAGGAGAAGAGAAGAACAAGTAGAATGAAGAGGGGGATGAGGAGAAAGAAGGGAAGGAGGAAAAGGAGAAGGAGGAGAAGAATGAGGGAGGAAGAAGAGAAGGGTGAGCTGACCTTCCAGTACATGAAGCTGACGGGGTCCACGACTGTGGGCTGGATGATCTCCCTCCCGGGGAAGATGCCCCAGGTCACGGCATTGGGCTGCATGTCATGAGCGTTGGTGATGTTCTCCCCCTGAGAAGAAGAAGAAGAAGAATAACGAGAACACTAATCATACCAATGCTAATACCGAATTCTCCAAGGCGAGGGAGGCCCGTACCTTGACGTTGACAATATGGTAGTTGACCCGCTGCCCGTACTTCTTCAGCACGGCCTGCAGCGCCCGGACGTTCTCGCTGGAGGTGAAGAACTCCAGGTAAGCCTGCGAGAGGAAGAGAAGAATGAGCGAGCCGACAGTGTGACGCTGCAGCGAAGAAGGCGAATCCTCAGGTCCGAAACAAGTGGGAAATATCTAATGGTTGAAAGGAATGTTCTTACCTTCTGGAAGACGTATCCGCCGGGGGGTCCCCAACCCACGATGGGGTCGGTGGAGGGCTTCCCGTGGATGCGCGGCTGGGAGTTGATGGTCAAGATGCCCAGCCGGTTGACCTTGGCCAGCTCCGCCTTCAGCAGGTTGGTCTCGGCCGCCAGAGGGTCGTCGTTCCAGGGCAAGCAGGTCACCTGACCAAAACAAAGACTCGGTTGGGGGTCGCAAGGAAGAAGGAGGGAAAGAAGGAATGATAGAGCCACAGAAAGAGCCTTCTGGCCACAGAAACATTGTGGGGGAAACATACTCAGAGCTGGAGAAGGGAGAAAGTAGGCCTTCGTACAGCAGGAGAAGGGAGAAACAATAGACATTCCTCAGTGCTGGAGAAGGGAGAAAGTAGGCCTCATAGCCATAGAAGGGGGAAAGTATGCCTTCTTACACCTGGAGAAGAGAGAAAGTAGGCATTTCTCAGTGCTGGAGAAGGGAGAAAGTAGGCCTTAGAGCCGGAGAAGGGAGACAATACGCATTTCTCAGTGCTGGAGAAGGGAGAAAGTAGACATTTCTCAGTGCTGGAGAAGGGAGAAAGTATGCCTTCTTATAGCCATAGAAAGGGAAAAGTAGGCCTTTTACACCTGGAGAAGGGAGAAAGTAGGCATTTCTCAGTGCTGGAGAAGGGAGAAAATAAGCCTTCTTACAGATGGAGAAGGGAGAAAACAGGTATTTCTCAGTGCTGGAGAAGGGAGAAAGTAGGCATTTCTCAGTGCTGGGGAAGGGAGAAAGTAGGCCTTCTTACAGCTGGAGAAGGGAGAAACAATAGGCGTTTCTCAGTGCTGGAGAAGGGGGAAAGTAGGCCTTAGAGAAGGAGAAGAGGGAAAGTAGGCCTTACAGCTGGAGAAGGGAGAAACAATAGGCGTTTCTCGGTGCTGGAGAAGGGGGAAAGTAGGCCTTCTTACAGCTGGAGAAGGGAGAAACAATAGGCATTTCTCAGTGCTGGAGAGGGAAAGTAGGCCTTCTTACAGCTGGAGAAGGGAGAAACAATAGGCATTTTTCAATGCTGGAGAAAGTAGTTCTTACAGCTGGAGAAAGGAGAAAGTATGTCTTCTTACACCTGGAGAAGGGAGAAACAATAGGTGTTTCTCAGTGCAGGAGAAGGGGGAAAGTAGGCCTTCTTACAGCTGGAGATGGGAGAAACAATAGGCATTTCTCAGTGCTGGAGAAGGGAGAAAGTAGTTCTTAGAGCTAGGGAAGGGAGACAGTAGGACTTATAACTGGAGAAGGGAGAAAGTAGTCCTTTTTAACAGCTGGAGAAGGGAGAAAGTAGGCCTCCTTATAGCCATAAAAGGGGAAAAGGAGGCCTTCTTACAGCTGGAGAAGGGAGAAAATAGGCATTTCTCAGTGCTGGAAAAAGTAGTTCTTACAGCTGGAGAACGGAGACAGTAGGCCTTATAGCTGGAGAAGGGAGAAAGTAGGCCCTCTTACAGCTGGAGAAGGGAGAAATGGGCATTTCTCAGTGCTGAAAAAGGGAGAAAGTAGTCCTTCTTACAGCTGGAGAAGAGTGAAACAATAGGCATTTCTTAGTGCTGGAGAAGGGAAAAAGTAGGCATTTCTCAGTGCCGGAGAAGGGAGAAATTAGGCATTTCTCAGGGCTGGAGAAGGGGGAAAGTAAGCATTTCTCAGCTGGAGAAGAGAGAAAGTAGGCCTTCTTATAGCCATAGAAGGGGGAAAGTAGGCCTTCTTACACCTGGAGAAGGGAGAAAGTAGGCATTTCTCAGTGCTGGAGAAGGGAGAAAGTAGGCCTTCTTACAGCTGGAGAAGGGAGAAACAATAGGCATTTCTCAGTGCTGGAGAAAGTAGTTCTTACAGCTGGAGAAGGGAGACAGTAGGCCTTTTTACAGCTGGTGAAGGAAGAAAGTAGGCCTTCTTATAACTGGAGAAGGGAGAAACAATAGGCGGTTCTCAGTGCTGGAGAAGGGAGAAAGTAGGCCTTCTTAGAGCTGGGGAAGGGAGAAAGTAGTTCTTAGAGCTAGAGAAGGGAGACAGTAGTTCTTAGAGCTAGAGAAGGGAGACAGTAGTTCTTATAGCTAGAGAAGGGGGACAGTAGGCCTTATAGCTGGAGAAGGGAGAAAGTAGGTCTTGGAGCCAGAGAGAAATTGGGCCTTTTTCAGAGCTGGAGAAGGAAGAAGGCATTTCAGAGCTGGGGAAGAAAGTAGGCTTTCTTAGAGCCGGGGAAGGGAGAAAGTAGTTCTTAGAGCAGGAGAAAGGAGGAAGTAGGCCTTTTTCTCAGAGCTGGAGAAAGTTGGCTTTTCTTAGGTCTGGAGAATGGGGAAAGTAGGCAGGCAGTGGCCCTTCCAACACCAGACAACGCCGGGGACAGATGCTAGTTTTTAAAACAACAACAGCAACAACAACAATAATATCCGATGGCTCGGCATCGCCACCTTGTGCCCGTTCCTGTTGGGTTCCCCTGCGATGTAACACCGGAAGACCTCGAAGACGCTCTCCTCGCTGGTCAGCTCTTCTCCCCACATCTTCAGCAGTTCGTCCCGGGGAGATTTGCTCTTCAGGTAGAACAGGTAGTAGTCCTTCAGGTCCCCAAAGGCCGGGGAGGACGAGTTGCCCCTAGGAAACGGGAAAGGAAGCGTCTTGACCGCAGGTGGAGGAGAGGGGAGGGGGTTCCCACAGAATCCGACCCGGAGGAGACCCCAAAAAGGCACAATCCGATCCCTCCTGGCAGACGGCCTCCCCGCCACTCACCAGCGGCCGTTGGGAAACTCGTCCCACTCTTGGGTCCGGTAGATGTAGCTCTTTGGCCGGGAAGCCCAGAAAATGGGCCGGACGTCTTCCACCCGCCGCTTGGGGTGAGCGCTGACCGCCCAGGGCAAGGGGCGCCTGGCCGGAAGGGAAGAAGGGAAGCAGACTGAAACAGCCACAGATTGACCAGCTGAGTACAATTATTGTTGTTATTAGATTATTATTATTATTATTATTTCTGTATTTAGACGCCCTATTTCTGAGAGTCAACCTGTGTTGTGTACATAACGGTTATGTCACAATAATTATCCTCCTCCTCCTTGTTCTAGATGGGTATCAATAATAGTAATAGTAGTACTAAAGTTTATTGATTAGCTCTTAGGCCGTATCACAATATCAAACCAAACAAAAAGGCTTGATAAGACTTGAAATAATAATAATAATAATAATAATAATAATAATAATAATAATAATAATGGCTCACCTGGGATCCTTGTTCCAGGTGCCTATCAATAATAATAATAATAATAATAATGGCTCACCTGGGATCCTTGTTCCAGGTGCATCAATAATAATAATAATAATAATAATAATAATAATAATAATGGCTCACCTGGGATCCTTGTTCCAGGTGCGTATCAATAATAATAATAATAATAATAATGGCTCACCTGGGATCCTTGTTCCAGGTGCATATCAATAATAATAATAATAATAATAATAATAATAATAATAATGGCTCACCTGGGATCCTTGTTCCAGGTGCCTATCAATAATAATAATAATAATAATAATAATAATAATAATGGCTCATCTGGGATCCTTATTCCAGGTGCGTATTAATAATAATAATAATAATAATAATAATAATAATGCTTACCTGGTGTCCTTGTTCCAGATGTGTATCTCAACAACAATGGCTTACCTGAGTTCCTTGTTCCAGATGTGTATGACTAATAATAATAATATTTCTACTAATAATCCCCCCTTGCAGGCTTACCTGGGGTCCTTGTTCCAGATGCGTATCAATAATAATAATAATAATAATAATAATAATAATAATAATAATTCACACACACACACACCCCGCAGGCTTACCGGGGGTCCTCGTTCCAGAGGCCGAGCCTCCGGAGCACCTCGATGGTGGCCACCTCCCGGTTGAGGGTGTAGAAGTGGAGGCCGTGGACGAGGCCGCTGTCCAGCAGGGCCCGGCACATGCGCACGGCCAGCTCGATGCCGTAGTTGCGGATGGCGGCGTCGTTGTCCTTGATGGGCTCGATGACCTCGGTGATCTCCTCCGGCACCTCCAGCTTGGAGAGCTTCACCAGCTGGCGCAAGGAGTGGTAGCCCTGCCAAGGGAGCATGCCACCGGCATGAAGGAAGGAAGGGTCGGGCCGGATGCCCTCAAGGCCCCCCCCCCTCCGGCCATGGGGCGCTGGCTCACCTGGATGGGGAAGATCCCGGGGACGATGGGGCAGGTGATGCCGATGGCTTGGCAGTCCTTCAGGAAGGTGAGGAAGGTCTCGGCGCGGAAGAAGAGCTGCGTGACCACGAAGTCGGCCCCCGCCGAGACCTTCTCCTTCAGGTGCTTCAGGTCCTCCGCGTAGCTCTCCGCCTCCGGGTGGCCCTTGGGGTAGCCTGGCCGAGGGAGAAGGATGGAAGGAAGGAAGGAAGGAAGGGTAGATAGATAGAAGGAAGGAAAGAAAAAGAAAGAGAAAGGAGGAAGAATGGATGGATTGAAGGATGGATGGATGGATGGATGGAAGGAAGGAAGGATAGATGGATGGATGGATAGATGGATGGATGGATGGATGGATGGGAGAGAAGAAGGTAGGAAGGAAGAATGGGTAGATGGATGAGAGGAAGGAAGGAAGGAAAGAAAGAAATAGAAGGAGGCAGGAAGGAGGAAAGAAAAAGAAAGAGAGAGAAGGAAGAATGGATGGATGGATGGAAGGAAGGAAGGATAGATGGATGGATGGATGGATGGATGGATGGATGGGAGAGAAGAAGGTAGGAAGGAAGGAACAATGGGTAGTTGGATGAGAGGAAGGAAGGAAGGAAAGAAAGAAATAGAAGGAGGCAGGAAGGAGGAAAGAAAAAGAAAGAGAGAGAGAAGGAAGAATGGATGGATGGAAGGAAGGAAGGAAGGAAGGAAGGAAGGAAGGAAGGAAGGAAGGGAAGGAAGAGAAGGAGGGAGGGAGGGAGGAGAAGTTGTATAAAAGAAAGCAAGGGAAGAAGAGATAGATAGATAGATAGATAGATAGATAGATAGATAGATATAAGATATACAAATAGACAGACAGATAGATTAATGGAAGGGAGAGAGAAAAGAAGGAAAGAGAGAGAGAGAAGGAAGAATGGGTATATGGATGGATGGATGGGAGGAAGGAAGGAATGAAATAGAAAGAGGGAGGGAGGGAGAGGGAGGAAAGAAAAAGGAAGAAGGAAGGAAGAATGAGGAAAGAAGGATAGATAGGTGGAAGGGAGAGAGGAAGGAAGGAAGGAAAGAAAGAGGGAAGGTAGGAAGAATGGGTAGATAGATAGATAGATAGATAGATAGATAGATAGATAGATAGAAGAAAAGAAAGAAAGAAAAAGAAGGATGGAGGGAGGGAGGGAGGGAGGGAGGGAGGGAGGGAGGGAGGGAAGGAGGGAGGGAGGGAGGGAGGGAAGAAAAAAAAGAAGGGAGGGAGAAGGAGAGGAGGAGGAGAGAGGAAGGAAGAAAGAAGGGAAGAAAAAAGAAGGATGGATGAAGAAAGATGAAAGAAGGAAGGAAGGAAAAAAGAAGGGGGAAGAGGGAAGGAAGGAAGGAAGAATGGATAGATTAATAGAAAAAGGAAGGAAGGAAGGAAGGAAGGAAGAATATATGAAAGAAGGAAGGAAAGAAAGAGAGGGACGTAGGGCGAAAGAGGGAAGAATGAATGGATAGATGTATAGAAAAGGGGCAGGAAGAAAAGAAAGGAATTGACAGAGGGAAGGATGAAAGAATTGATAGATGGATAGAAAAAGGAAGAAAGGACAGACAGACAGATCGAGGAAAGGAGGGAGGAAAGAGAGAGAAAGATGGAAGGAAGGAAGAATGGATAAATTGATACAAAAAGGGAGGGAGGGAGGATGGATAGATGGATTAAAGAAAGAAGGAAGGAAGGAAGGAAAGAAGAAAGAGAGAGAGGGGAGGGAGGGAGGAAGAAAAGAGAGAAAGAAGATGGAAGGAAGGAAGAATGGATAAATTGATACAAAAAGGGAGGGAGGGAGGATGGATAGATGGATTAAAGAAAGAAGGAAGGAAGGAAGGAAAGAAGAAAGAGAGAGAGGGGAGGGAGGGAGGAAGAAAAGAGAGAAAGAGGGAAGGGAGGAAGAAGGAGAAGATGGAAAGAAAGAAGGAGAAGGAAAAGGGAGAGAGAGAAGAGGGAAGGAGAATGGATGGATGGATGAAGGAGGAAAGAAAGGAGAAAGAAGGAAGGAAGGGAAAAGGGAGAGAGAGAAAGAGGGAAGGAAGAATGGATGGATACATAGATAGAAGAATGGAAAGAGAAGGATGGAAGGAAGGAAGGAAGGAAGGAAGGAAGGAAGGAAGGAAGGAAGGAAAAAGGGAGAGAGAGAAAGAGGGAAGGAAGAATGAATGGATGGATGAAGGAGGAAAGAAAGAAGGAGAAAGAAGGAAGGAAGGGAAAAGGGAGAGAGAGAAAGAGGGAAGGAAGAATGAATGGATGGATGAAGGAGGAAAGAAAGAAGGAGAAAGAAGGAAGGAAGGGAAAGGGGGGAGAGAGAAAGAGGGAAGAAAGAATGGATGGATGAAGGAGGAAAGAAAGAAGAACAAGGAAGGAAGGAAGGAAAAAGGGAGAGAGAGAAAGAGGGAAGGAAGAATGAATGGATGGATGAAGGAGGAAAGAAAGAAGGAGAAAGAAGGAAGAAAAAAGGGGGAGAGAGAAAGAGGGAAGGAAGAATGGATGGATGAAGGAGGAAAGAAAGAAGGAGAAAGAAGGAAGGAAGGGAAAAGGGAGAGAGAGAAAGAGGGAAGGAAGAATGGATGGATACATAGATAGAAGAATGGAAAGAGAAGGATGGAAGGAGGAAAGAAGAGAAAGGGAAAAGTAGATAGAAGAAAGGAATGGAAAAAAGAGGGAAAAGGGGAAGAAAGGAAGAAAAGGGGGAGGGAGGGAGGGAGGGAGGGAGGAAGAAAAAAGAGAGGAAGGAAAGGAAGGAAGGATTGTATTTGTTTATTTTTTCCCCTCTATGGATCCACAAATGTACCGGCCTCCCCGGCCGTGGGCAGCTCACCTGCCACGCAGATGTCGAAGTAGTCGTCGAACTCCCGCCGGATGTGCTTCACCAAGTCGGCGGCGTAGTTGAACCCGCCGGCTTCCTCCTCCCATTCTTCGCCGAATGGGATCTGCGGGAGAGATGATTGATTATGGAACAGGGGTTGGAATAGGCGATGGTTGTGGACAAGGAGGAGGGTGATGCGGTGGCGGCGCTGACCTCCGCGCAGGGCCATGATGTTCTTGAGGCCGAGGTGCTTGGCCTTGCGGAGGTGGGCGCTGACGGTGGCGGGCGTCTGGTGGCAGCAGGTCATGTGGAGGACGGTCTCCAGGCCGCAGTAGTTGAGGGCGGTGGAGGCGATCATCATGGAGGAGGTCTCCTTGTCCGAGCCGGGGTCCCCCGCCGGGTGCCACGTCACGTCCACAAAGAGAGGGCCCCCCGTCCCCATGCGGTCAAACCTAAGGAGGAGGAAGAAGAGGAAGCAAGAGCAGGAGGTCAGGCATCAAGAGGTCCCAAGGGTGATGGGTCACATCCGAGGCTGAGAGACGGTAACCTCATACATACATTCACATACATACATACATATATATATATACACACATACATGTTCACACAAATGCATGCACACCAATATATGTGCATACATATACATATATATTATATATATACATAAAACACATACACATCCAAATACACATACATATATGCATACATACACATATGCATACACACATAAACATACATACACACAAATGCATACATACATATATAAATACACACAAACAAATATATATATCCATATATATATATATACTGTATGCATACATACATGCTTATGCATACACACATACATATAAACATGCATACACATGTGTACATACATATATATACATACACACATGTGCAACATATACATACACACACACATATAAATACATACACACATATACATGTATACACACATACAGATACATATGCATACATATATGCATACACACATATGTACACATACATACACATGTATGCATATATACACATACATATATGCATACATACACATGTATACATATATATATACATTCATACATACACATATGCATACACACATATACATACACACACACAAATGCATATATACATATATAAATACAAACAAACACACACATATACATATATATACTGTATACACACATATATACGTATATGCTTATGCATACACACATACATATATACATTCATACATGTGTACATACATATATATATATGTACACACATGTGCAACATACAAACACATACATATATACATACAAACACACACATACATATATACACACATACATATACATATATAAATACACATACATATGTACACATACATACACGTGTATGCATATATACACATACATATATGCATACATACCCATGTATGTATAAATATATATACATTCATACATACACATATGCATACACACATATACATACATACACACAAATACATATATATATTCACACAGAAACACATACACACATATACATATATTTATACTGTATACACACATACATACATGCTTATGCATACACACATATATATACATGCATACACATCTGTACATACATATACATATATATATATATACGTACACATGTGCAACATATACATACACAAACACATACATACATATATAAATACATACAAACACACACACATATATATACACACATAAAGATACAGATACATAAATATATGCATACACATACATACACATGTATGCATATATACACATACACATATATACATACTTACATACATACACGTGAATATATACATCCATGCACCTGCATATGTCCATGCATACTAACTCATACATATATGCATTGTAAGTGAAAGCCCTAAGTCAGCTAACAACCGAAGCGTATCGCTCCAGAGATGGACAAAGGAATGGACAGCTGGCCCCACCGCTTGACCCTTCGAGGGATTCTTGACCTCTCGCCTGAGAAGACCAACCCCAAACTGGACAGAACCAGAGCAAAAGTGCTGACGAGCCCCCTCGCAGGACTCCTCGAAGTCATTTCCCCCTCTCCTGAGTTAATATGGTTAATACAACTCCCAAAGCAGTCTGCGGTCCAAAGGGTCACGCTTTCGGAGGCTGGGGAGAAGGTCAAGTCATCCCTGACCGTTCTCTCCAGGCGCTTTCTAGGATCTCCCGTGTGATCCCATGATAGACCTCTGCAGGAGTTGACCATGGTCACGCTGAATGACCTAGAAACACCAGAGAAGTGTTCTACGTAAACACACCTCTGCAGGAGTTGACCACAGTAATGCTGAATGACCTAGAAACACCAGAGAAGTGTTCTAGATCCTCAAGTGTGATTCTGTGACAGACTTCTGCAGGAGTTGGCCATAATCATGTTGAGTGACCTAGAAATACTAGAGAAGAGTTCTACATCAAATGTGAATAGACCTCTGCAGGGACTGACCACAGTCATACTGAATAACCTAGAAGTGTTAGAGAAGTGTTCTAGATCCTCAAATGTGATTCTGTGACAGACTTCTGCAGGAGTTGGCCATAATCATGTTGAATGACCTAGAAACACTAGAGAAGAGTTTGACATCAACTGTGACTAGACCACTGCAGGAGTTGACCACAGTCATATTGAATAACCTAGAAGCGTTAGAGAAGTGTTCTAGATCCTCAAGTGTGATTCTGTGACAGACTTCTGCAGGAGTTGGCCATAATCATGTTGAGTGATCTAGAAACACTATAGAAGAGTTCTACGTAAATAGACCTCTGCAGGAGTTGACCAGTCATGTTGAATGACCTAGAAACGGTAGAGAAGTGTTCTAGGTCACGTGTGATTCTATGAGAGACCTCTGCAGGAGTTGACCATAATCATGTTGAATGACCTAGAAACACTAGAGAAAAGTTCTACATCAAGTGTGACTAGACCACTGCAGGAGTTGACCACAGTCATATTGAATAATCTAGAAGCATTAGAGAAGTGTTCTAGATCCTCAAGTGACAGACTTCTGCAGGAGCTGACCATAGTCATGTTGAATAACCTAGAAGCATTAGACAAGTGTTCTACACCAAGTGTGAATAGACCTCTGCAGAAGTTGATCACAATAACGTAGAATGACCTAGAAACGCTAGAGAAGGGTCCTAGGTCTTCAAGTATGATTCTGTGATAGACTTCTGCAGGAGCTGATCATAGTCATGTTGAGTGACTACAAACGCTAGAGAAGCGTTCTACATCAAGTGTGAATAGACCTCTGCAGGAGTTGACCGTAATCATGTTGAACGACCTAGAAACGCTAGAGAAGCATTCTAGGTCCTCAAGCGTGATTCCATGATACGGTTGATTGCAATAAGGTTCGTGTTTCCATGGTAGGTCGAGGGATGGACGTGGGGATACATTGCATTTCCGCCCACCCCCCATCCATTCATGGATCCTGCAGGTGTCCTCGTACCTAGAGATGAGGTTGACGGCCCCGCTGGAGGTCCGGGGCGGAAAGAACTCAAGGGAGAACCACTTGTCCCCAGACTCCAAGCGCCGGCGCATCTTCTCCCGCAGGCGCTCATGCCGCTCGGGTTCCAGCACTGGTGTGGAGCACCTAGAACTCTCCTTGGAACTCTCGCCACCACTGCTGCCACTGCCACCACCACCACCATCAGGCCGTAAGCTGGTGAAGCCATTGACGGAGAGGAGCCCGCTGTTGACGTTGTAAGCCTCGTTGACCCTGCGGGGGCAAATATAATATAATATAACATAACATAACATAATATTAGTAGCTGTCCCCTGCCACGCGTTGCTGTGGCCCAGTCTCTGTATATGTGTTTTGTGTGTATATATGTGTTTATGTGTGTGTGTATATATTGGTGTGTGTATACATGTGTATATACTTGTATATTTCTGTGTTTATATGTGTATATGTATATTGTGTATATGTGTGTGCTTGTGTATATGCATATATGTGTGTGTATGTGAATCTGTGTGTAGGTGTATATGTGGGTGTGTATATATGTGTGTATACATGTGTATATACTTGTGTATTTGTGTTTATATGTGTCTATGTATATTGTGTATTTGTGTGTATATATATGTGTGTGTATACATGTGAATATACTTGAGTATTTCTGTGTTTATATGTGTATATGTATACTGTGTACATGTATGTGTGTATATATAGATGTGTGTGTATGCCAGTGTATATACTTGTGTATTTGTGTTTATATGTGTCTATGTATATTGTGTATTTGTGTGTATATATATATATGTGTGTATACATGTGTATATACTTGTGTATTTCTGTGTTTATATGTGTATATGTATACTGTGTACATGTGTGTGTGTATATATATGTGTGTGTGTATATATATATGTGTGTGTATACATGTGTATATACTTGTGTATTTGTGTTTATATGTATATATGTATATTGTGTATTTGTGTGTATATATATGTGTGTGTATACATGTGTATATACTTGTGTATTTCTGTGTTTATATGAGTGTATGTATATTGTGTATATGAGTGTGCTTGTGTATATGCATATATGTGTGTATGTATGTGAATATGTGTGTAGGTGTATATGTGTGTGTATGTCTGTATACATGTGTATATACTTGTGTATTTGTATATTGTGTATGTGTGTGTATATATATGTGTGTGTATGCATGTGTATATACTTGTGTATTTGTGTTTATATGTGTATATGTATATTGTGTATTTGTGTGTATATATATGTGTGTGTATACATGTGTATATACTTGTGTATTTCTGTGTTTATATGTGTATATGTATATTGTGTATATGAGTGTGCTTGTGTATATGCATATATGTGTGTATGTATGTGAATATGTGTGTAGGTGTATATGTGTGTGTATGTGTGTATACATGTGTATATACTTGTGTATTTGTATATGTCTATTGTGTATATGTGTGTATATATATATGTGTGTATGCATGTGTATATACTTATGTATTTGTGTTTATATGTGTATATGTATATTGTGTATTTGTGTGTTTATATATATATGTGTGTATACATGTGTATATACTTGTGTATTTCTGTGTTTATATGTGTATATGTATATTGTGTATATGAGCGTGCTTGTGTATATGCATATATGTGTGTATGTATGTGAATATGTGTGTAGGTGTATATGTGTGTATATGTGTGTGTATGTGTGTATACATGTGTATATACTTGTGTATTTGTATATGTCTATTGTGTATATGTGTGTATATATATATGTGTGTATGCATGTGTATATACTTGTGTATTTGTGTTTATATGTGTATATGTATATTGTGTATTTGTGTGTTTATATATATATGTGTGTATACATGTGTATATACTTGTGTATTTCTGTGTTTATATGTGTATATGTATATTGTGTATATGAGCGTGCTTGTGTATATGCATATATGTGTGTATGTATGTGAATATGTGTGTAGGTGTATATGTGTGTATATGTGTGTGTATGTGTGTATACATGTGTATATACTTGTGTATTTGTATATGTATATTGTGCATATGTGTGTGTGTATATATGTGTGTGTATACATGTGTATATACTTGTGTATTTGTGTTTATATGTGTATATGTATATTGTGTATTTGTGTGTATATATATGTGTGTATACATGTGTATATACTTGTGTATTTCTGTGTTTATATGTGTATATGTATATTGTGTATATGTGTGTGCTTGTGTATATGCATATATGTGTGTATGTATGTGAATATGTGTGTAGGTGTATATGTGTGTATACATGTGTATATACTTGTGTATTTGTGTTTATATGTATATTGTGTATGTGTGTGTGTATATATATGTGTGTATATACTTGTGTATATGTTAATCCCACAAACAAACATTACATTTTTATTTATATAGCTATAATAATAATATTCTATATAATTATATATTATATAGAATCATATTATTATATTGTAATATATATTATTATATAATTATACAATATGATATAACTATTGTATAATTATATAATTATTATAATTGCATAATTATAAATAGTTATAAGGAACTATTCAAATCCTTATCGGAACGCCAAAGCAGCTCAATTATATACAGCTCACCTTTTGGGGGGCTTTGGCAGTGTCTCCCTGCCTGGCATAGGGTCAGACTAGAAGACCTTTGGGGACCCCATTGGGTTTCGGTTCCCACTTTCCTCCCCTTTCGCCGAGTGGGCGACGTGGCTCTGCTCTCAGGACGATCGTGCCAAAACCCCACGTGTTATTACAGTGCGTTTTGTGTTCATCGGACCTCAAACACATGCCGCATCTCACGTGTTTCCCAAGGTAAACAAACCCTGTTTTGCCTTATCGACAATGTGCCTTTTTGTTTGATGATCGCCCTTCTCACAATCCCAAAACTCTACAAGTTGCATTTCCAAATGGCAGGTTTCTAACTGCTAAAGAGGTCCATTACTATTAATTGGAAAATTAATATTAATACCTAGCTGTACCCACCACACGCTGCTGTGGTCACCTTCCCTCCCTCTTTCCCTCCTTCCTTCTTTCTCCCCTTCCCTCTTTCTTTCCTTTCTTCTTTCCCTCTTTTTCTCCCTCCTTCTCTCCCTCCTTCATTCTGTATCCTTCTTTCTTTCCTTCTTTCTCTCCTGCCCTTCTTCTTTCCCTCTTTCTCTCCCTCCTTCTCTCCTTCCTTCATTCTCTACACTTCTTTTTTTCCTTCTTTCTCCCCTTCCCTCCTTCTTTCCTTTCTTCTTTCCCTCTTTTTCTCCCTCCTTCCTTCTCTACCCTTCTTTCTTTCCTTCTTTCTCTACTTCCCACCTTCTTTCCTTTCTTCTTCCCTCTTTTTCTCCTTCTCCCCTTCCTCCTTCTCTCCTCTTTCTCCCTTCCCCTTTCTTTCCCTTTTTCCTCCTTCTCTCCTTCCTTCCTTCTTCTCTCTTCTTCCTTCTCCCCTCCCTCCTTTCCTTCTTTTTCTCCCTCTTCTCCTCCTTCCTTTTCTACCCTTTTCTCTTCTTTCTCTCCTTCCTCCTTCTCCTCTTTCTCTCCCTCCTTCTCTCCTTCCTTTCTTCTCTACCCTTTTTCTTTTTTTTCTCCTTCCCTTCTTTCCCTCTTTCTTTCCCTCTTTCTCTCCTTCGTTTTCTACCTACCTTTCTTTCTTCCTTTTCTCCTCTTCCCTCCTTCCTTCCCTCTTTTTCCTTCCTCCCTTTTTTCTTTCTTTCTTTCTTTCTTTCTTTTTTTCTTTTTCTTTCCCTTTTGCTTTCCTTCCTTCCTTCCTTCCTTCCTTCCTTCCTTCCTTCCTTCCTTCCTTCCTTTCTCCCTTCCTTTCTTCCTTCTCTTTTTCCTTCCTCCTTTCCTCCTAGAGGATGTTTACCTCCTTCTTCTCCTTCCTTCCTTCTTTTTCTCCCTCCTTCCTTCCTTCCTTCCTTCTTCTCTACCTTTCTTTTTTTTCCTTCTTTCTCTCCATCCCTCCTTCTTCACTTTCTTCTTCCCCTCTTTCTCTCCCTCCTTCCTTCTCTACCCTTCTTTCTTTCCCTCCTTCTTTCCTTTCTTCTTTCCCTCTTTTTCTCCCTCCTTCTCTCCTTCCTTCCTTCTCTATCCCTTTCCCTCCCTCCTTCTCTCCCTCCTTCTCTCCTTCCTTCTCTACCCTTCTATATTTCCTTCTCTCCTTCTTTCCCCCTTTCTCTCCCTCCTTCTCTCCTGCCTTCCTTCTCTACCCTTCTTTATTTCCTGAGGAAGAACTTCCTGACTGTGAGAGCCATTCAGCAGTGGAACTCTCTGCCCCGGAGTGTGGTAGAGGCTCTTTCTTTGGAAATTTTTAAACAGAGGCTGGATGGCCATCTGTCAGGGGTGCTTTGAATGTAATATTCCTGCTTCTTGGCAGAATGGGGTTGGACTGGATGATGGCCCAGGAGGTCTCTTCGAACTCTAGGATTCTATAAGCAGGCAAGAGTTCTTTCTCCCACCCTGGACATTATTCCACAGATATATAAACCTCACTTGCCTAGTTTCCTATAGACCTCACAACCTCTGAGGATGCCTGCCAAAGATGTGGGTGAAACGTCAGGAGAGAATGCTTCTGGAAGATGGCCATACAGCCCGGAAAACTCACAGTAACTCAGTGATTCCGGCCATGAAAGCCTGTGACAACACAATCCTCAATATATTTTATCTCTACGTGCTGAATCTGCTCCAGATTTTACCCCAACCCCTCTTCAGTCCTGTTTCTAATAAATGGCAGAATATAAATAAGTAAAATAAATTATAGCCACCATAAAGATCCCTCTTGCAGCCAATGAGCAAATCCCTCGCTATCTCTTCTTGGGGTTCCATGTCCAGAAATACCTTCAAATCATGGATTGTCTGCTTGTGCATGCATGTGCCTTCAAGTTACCTGACCCCATTAATTTCACTAGTTTTTCTTAGGCAGGGAATACACAGAGGTGGCTTTGCAATTCTTCTTCTGAAATATAGCCGACAGCACTTGGAATTTGTTGTCAGCCTCCCATCCAGTGATCCCATCAGATGGGATCTGGTACCTTTGCCTTCCTTCCTTGGTGGATTCTGCCAAAATCATGGAGCTATTAGGAGCCTTGTGCTGGCTGAACTGCTGACCTGAAGTTCAGTGGTTTGAATCCACGAGACAGGGTGAGCTCCCATTTGTCAGCTCCAGCTCCCCATGTGGGAACATGAGAGAAACCTCTCACAAGATGGTAACATACCCAGGCATCCCCCGGGCAACGT